CTTTCACACAATGACACAAATATATCCACACACGCACACCCCCCCACACACACACAAAAATGCACAAACATAAATATCCACACATACACACGCTTTATACACAGATACATATCCACACATCCCCTCCTTATACATAAACATGCACATACACATGCACACACACATCCACCCACCCCCATTGCCACCCTCACACCTCCCTTTGGCTCCATCAAAAAAAAAAAATCAATCAATAACGTAATAATGTAAAAGAGTCTGTGTACAAGGAATGTGTGTGTGTGCATATGCCTGTGTATCTGTGCATATGCCTGTGTATCTATGTGTACATGTGTATATAAAAAAATATACGTGTGTGTGAGAGCCATGTATGTGCATACATGTGTATGTGTGACCCTAAGATGTACGTGCACATATATAAAAGCTGTGTGTATGCATGTATAAGATGTGTACGTGTGTGTGTGTGTATAAACTACGTGCACGACTGCGTGTGAAATGGCTCCTGCTCCCCACCCTGGGATCCTGGGCAGGGTCTGCCGCAGGAGCAGGTGCCCAGCTGCTGTAGGGCCCTTTGGAGGTGCCGGGGACCCCCCCCCCAGTTCACCCCCGGGGCCCCCCCCCCATGTCACCCCTGTCACTTCAGTGGTGTGTCGCAGGCAGAGGCTAAAGCCCACCTCTGCCCCTGCTCCCCGGGCAGCCTCCGGAGCGCTCGACATGGAAGCCTTTGATCTTATCATGCTATTAAATATATGCACCATTTTTTTTCTGGTGCTAGTGTTGTAGAATGAGATTTCTGCCTTGATTTTCTTTCTTTTTTCTTTCTTTTCCCCATGGGGTTGATCTGCAAAAGCCCAGTGTATCAGTCATTGCAATCCGACACGAGCAGGCAGGACGCATTTTTGGTTTCCTGGCCTGGAGGCATTAGGTGGGTGATGCCCTCTAATACACTAACTACGAATTTGATACGTGATTTTAAAAATACATGCTTGCATGTTAGAAATGTTGATTGTTGCCACCAGAAAATCCCACTCCAGTTTTGGAGCTTCCAAAAAGTTTGATAGCAGAGTCTGCCCAGCTGTCATCAGCCCAGGGCGGAAACTTTACAGTCATACTTGACCCAATAGTGAAATTCACGTAAGCCTAATAGCTGCCCACTACAAAGACATTGTACATGTTTTATATGTTATTTCCATATACATTTCTACTCCATGTTCACCCTATTCACAAAAAGAAAAAAGGTTTTGTGAACAGGGGAACAAGACTTTTGTTTTAATCTGCTAATAGCTCCCCCCCCTCCCCAGCTGCCCCAAATACAGTCCTTCCCCATGTCTGCCCGCAGGAATATCCCCTTTCCCGCTTCCATCTCCTTCCCTTCCCATCTCCATGTGTGTGACACGAACCCAGGTGGGTAAACCAGCAGCTGTTCCAGCTGTTCATTGTTACACAGATGCACTGAAGAGGCAAGAGACAGAAATAAGAAGTTTGCACGGAATATTTATTTTGATAAACATTGCGTACTCCAGACAACTACATGTTATTTCAGTTGTAAGCCACAGTCTGTTGGAACCAACATCCCCAGAGCTCTTGTCATCATAAACCAGACAGTCAATGCATTACCATGGTCTGCGGACATAGAGAGCTTTCAAGTGCAAAGCAGATTATCAGAAAAGATGTATTGCCGACCTCTTTAACAACCTGGACAATGCTAACCTCCAGTAACAATGCTTCATATGTTTGCAATTTAGTTGTCTTAGTGCCATTGTAATAAATTAATAGAAAATATATCTTTTTCTTTTTCATTGGAATGTCTATAAGAAAATGTACAAACATCTAACTCCGAAAAAGGACCAGCTATTTCGGCAACAGGTAAAACAAGCATTTGAACAGAGGCAAAAAAACCCCAAACATCCAACCAAACGAACAGACAAACAAATAAAATGCAATCCAAAAACCCCACTCCACCGCTGGCAGCTGTGTAGGCAAACATGGAAACATCTGCAGGAATTAAACCTTACAAAGAGGGTAACTGCAGCTTGTGCGGGGACTGCTACAAGGCTCTACAAAGAACAAGCAGCCAGTGAATTCCCTAGTCAAAGTGTGCATGTGAGATTTCTAGAACAGTCAAAGATTAAAAAGTAATCATATGGCACAAAACGATTGCTGATTGGCAATGGTGTTAGCCTTCGTTCTGTCTTCAGAGCAACATGCTGGTGTCACCCCGAAACGGCCGATGGGAGCCCTTTGCGTGTCCCAGGCGCAGCCGCTCTGTCCCACTGCTGCGATGCTCTGCTGTCCCACAGGCTCACGGCTGCTGCGATCCCGCACGCCGTATGCACAGCGTGAGACCCACTCGAGCTCCAAAACAGGCCCCATGTGACAAGCTTTGCACGATACAACAAGCTACTTTAAAAGTTTTCTTCTCTTGATAAGATGAGATTTGTTTAGGAAAGAAAAAAAAAAAAGGTTTTCCTAGAGCCAAGTCTTATGATTTCACCCTGAGAATTCCCAAAAATGTAAAATCAGAAGCTACACTTTAGCACAAAGGCAGCGCACTTGTAGAAGCTGAACAAACCAGTCTTGGGGACAGATTCACCTGGCACGAACCCCCTGGGCATCGACACGCTGACAGCAGGGAAGGGCAGCAGCCACCACAAGGGACCTCTGCCCCGGGGGTCACACAGAGCCATGTCCCAAGCCAGGCACATCCTGAGCCCGGCTTTCCTGCCCTCCGCTTGTCAAGTGCTCATGAGAGAAATCCTCCTGCTTTGGTCCAGCTCATGGAAGCAATCGTGTCCCAGTAACACCAGTGCAAGGATACCAACAGGCTTGCCCCAGGGCGGTGCAGGGGCTGGATAACCCCGACTGATGCGCTCGAGGGACTTGGTTTTAGTCCATCTGCCTGACTTCAGGGGTACGGCTCTGTGCTGGCTACCAGAGAACGTCAGGTAAATGACATTTGGATAATCATGGTTGAACCATGAGTGGGACTGACTTTTTCAAGGAATAGTTTGTGAAATCCCCAAACCATCATAAGCCATCGGGGGAAAAAAGACCCCACCTTACTTGCCTTTTACAAGTGTTGCCCATTCGTATTCATTCTGGAAACAGCACAGATGCCTAAAGAGCAACAGACTCCTGTGGAGGAGCAAGAGGGGGAAAGCTTGGCTTTTAAACACACTACACGTGACATTCAGCGAGTTCAAAACAACTCTACAATAAGACTGAAAGGAACATTTCCAGTTTTGAAACCCAGGAGAGGCTTGAGGGGAATGTAACCTGCAGTACTATCCAAATTTTGCTCACGGTTGCTTCAACGTTCAGAATTATTGATCTAAACCAGGCAGATGGAGTGCAACACCTGCCCGGCCTTTGGAATGACACACAAACGGGTTTGCTCTTTCATTCTAGCTGCAAGATAGTGTTTTGGATTCTGTGGAAAAAAAGCAACTTAATTAAATGAGCTCTAATCAAAATGGAGCAAAACAAAGTCACCATCAGCAACCAGAATAACCTCTGTAGCAATGGGGGCAGGCAGAGACAAAGTGGGGAAACAAACCCAGGCAAACTTTGCATTCTCTGTGCTTTGAAAAGCTCTTCATCCTGTCTTTTATCCCCTCCTAGATTTCTTAGAACAGCCACAGCCTCCAGAGACACCTCCACGGCACTTCTCAGCAACAGACAGAAATATCACTGAGCACTGGAAGTACTTACAATGTTTTACAAGACAATGTTTAATTTCCCAGCTTTGAGAGATGTCCCCGCAGGAGTCCTGATTCACGCTAATCTGCCTTCATTACCCAGATATTGCTTTGAAGAAGAGGGAAAGGAGGTACAAGGCATCCAACTAGCGTATGGGGATTCTCACTCTAATTCTTCAGCTGCTTGGTAAGACCTCCATCCAGATCTCATGTAACTCTTCCAGGAGGACAAAGACACCCATGCCTCAAGCCTGAGGACAGGATCAGAAAGCAACGCAGAGCAGAGCAGTGTCATCCCAGTGCCTCTGACCTCCCTGGAAGGGCAAGGGCTGCCCACCCCATTTGAGGCTGCATAATGTGAGTCCCAGTACTCCCAGTTAAAAACTGGAAGCCCTGAACAGAGTGGCTTTGACTGGCTGCCTTAAACCCTCCAGACTGATCCTGAACATGATTATACAGAGGGACTGTATGGGGAAGGCTGAGAAAATATATGTGCTAATTGACATGGATTTCTTTCTAGCCTACAGCTGCTTGTTGAAGGAACACTTCCTATCTGAGCAACCACTATTGAAAAATCTTGATCCAAAGGAGAAATGCAGTTTTCTGAGCAAGCATAAATATGTGGTTTCATCAGTCTCCACTGGCATGTTTTATCCTCTCCTTCTTTCGTCTCTTCCCCAACTATGTGCCGTGGGCTGGCATGTACAACACAGATCCCAAAGAGCTCGACCAAACATCACAGAAGTTTTAGGATAAACTCCTACTGTCCAGTTATGTTTCCCAGTATCTTGATAACCATTCAAATATACTCTATCCATTTTAGATTTTTTAACCAGCCTTTAAATTGGTATTCCACATTCATGTCGGCAGCTAGTTAACACTATGGGGAAAAAAAAAAAAGGGTTTGGATAACTTAGAGGCTGGTAAAAGCAATAATCCTCCATGGCCTTCAGACCTAGAGCTCCCCCTTCGAGAGGCAGCACAGAAGTTAGTCTGTCACAGGGTGCTGCTAAAACCAGCACTTTGTAAACCAGGTCAAACCTTGCTTAGTAACACGAGAGTCAACATGGCATCAGTGAGCACGTCAACCGGCGAGGAGCTGGTGATCACAGAACTGATCGCAGAGGAAGGCGTTTCTGTCACATGTGGCCACTCTAGCTACTTACAGTAAGATTTCTTTTTGAACAACAACAACACCAACAACACCAGGCTCCACCTCGGGAGCAGGCTGCCAGGCGCCTGGGGTGAGCAGTCAGTAGTCCGTCCCGTGGGGCAGTGCTGGCAGGCAGCAGGCAGAGCTGTGTGTCTTCACAATTTCATTTTCTTCACCACAGGGATTGGCAGTGCTTGATAGATTTTAGCTGAGTCCTCATTAGTGACCAGCTTCACCCAGACAGGGCGGAAGCTGCCTTTGAATCCAACAAAAGCCATTTTTTCTGCAAATCAGAACAAACGCATCAGGAGTGTGTCGAGGCTGCACCAGAAATACACCTGCGTGGGTGAACCCCTTCATTTACACAGTGTAGTAACATGAAAAGGAACTTGAGGAAAATCTCCTCTCTATATTTAGATGTATTTTAAACCTCTGGATGGATGGATGGGGTGGACAAGAGCACACACGTGGACACAGACTTGGCCAATTATGCATTCTCCAGGTGGTAAAGAAATACTTTCCTAGTGAAGCTTAATGAACATTTTATTTACACATCGTACGCTTCCACTAATCAACAATGTGTGATACACAGCAGAGAAGAAAGAGAGAAGGAAAAACCTCCCTAGTAGGCAGCTTGTCTGTTGAGGCTATCATTATTTGCATGGTGGTTATACTCAAGACCCTTTCCTGCTTGGGAAAGGTGGGGGGATGATGAGGGCCAGGATAACAGACAAGACCTGTGTTAGCGAGTATAACACACAAACACAAGAAGAAAGTGTGCCAAAAGCTCACAGTTAGAGCTGATCAGAGCAACGTGGCCAAGAGAGCAACATTCTAGTGCAATATGAGATGCTTTGTAAGCAATATGCTTTGTGCCATCAAGTTGAAATTTTGTTACAAGAGAAAACAAGCTAAAAATAAGTTCAGACAAGTAAAAAAATCCTGATGTGGGGCATTTAGTGGGAAAAAGTCCAATATTCCTATTGTTAAAATGACTTTATTTAAAGTGAATGTGGAAAATTAAACCCCCCGAATCCTTTACTTCCAAGAACAGCGGCCAGGGCACTTTTTTTCCATCTACGGTTAAATTGTGTGCTGTTATCCAAAGCTGCAGTGGATGCAACCTCACCAAATAAATAAATGACAGCTTCCAGGATGCTTGAGCACATGCTGATAGAAACAAGCAAGGCAAAGTTTAGAAGCAGAAAATAGGTCCCTTTACTGGCACCATGGGAGGGTAATAGATCAAAGAGGTTTAGAATGGGGTTTTTAAAAAGTGGTTACCTTTTAACCTAAACCCCTCTTCTTCTCCGAGTCTCTCCAGTACTTTAGTCCATGGTCCTCTTGAAACAAATCTTCCTTTAGATGTCACCAGCACTATGGAGCTGAAGGGAACAGAGTCATTTATAAACAGATGAAGTCATAACACATTCCTTGCTTGTCTGTCTTGAGCACTGGTAACTCCCGCCTGCCTGACTCAAAGACACCCACGAACCACCGTGGTTTCTGCTTTAACGGCTTTTGTCAATGCTTTCCAACAGCTTAGTCATATATTCACTTTTCCAATCATGCAAAATCCATTAGGAAGCCAACAGGCTAACTTTTTTTTCTTTTAAATACTGTTTTCTAGAATGATTTAAATGTTTCCAAGCAGCAGTTCCATCCTGCTTTGCTCAGAAAGGAACATGCTCTCTCTGAGATGCTCTAAGCAAGTCTCAAGTCATTTATTATTCTTAGACAATTAGCAAGATAAAGCCTGAACAAATTGACTTCTTTGAGATTTTTGCTGGCCTGATGCTTTTCCTTTATTTTCAGTGTGCTTTTGCTTAAAAGGTTTATTATTATTATTATTATTACCATCATTATTACCTTGCTTGCATGTACTGCATTTCACCTCAAAATTCTCAGGCTCTTCTACAAATGCCATAATAATAAGCAAAGGACATGAAGTAAGCGCGTTAACCTAATGCAAATCTGTAAAATGTTTGGGCAAAAGCTGGTAACTGCCTAGGCTTAATTCTAAAAGGGTAAAATAAAAACCCAAATTAAACATCAGGGGATAATTTTATAGTGAGAATTGTCCATAGAGAAGCACAGGCCACGCAGCGATGTTAACCTTAATTCCTGCAAGATGCACAAACACTTCCCGTGGTTATCTCCAGGTGTATGAAGAGCTACACTCCAGGGAGTTCAGTGGAAGTTTTGCTATTGAGCTCAGAGGGCCTGGAATATCATCCTTGTCCAGCTCCTAATTAAAGCTGCATCACAGAGTAATTGAGCAAACACTTGCTCAGATGAAATTATTTCATTCCACCTTGCAGGCTTTCTATGAATGAAACCTCCCTGCACCAAGCGGCGTCTGCAGCCTTGCAGAATGGGAGCCTTGCTGGGTCTGCTTTCCTGCATGGCAGTGGACACCAGTCGCGAAAATTAATTAGTCAAGAGCTCCTGCAGAGCTCAAACCCTGAGCTACTGAGTGCAGTAGTTACATCTTAACACCTCAGCTGGAACTGGAACTGTTCAAGGGAAAATAGCAACGGGTGGTGGCAGAGGAACAAGAGAAGCAAAGCAGTGAAGAGCCACCAGGACTTTTCCTAGAATAAACCCAAGGTGTTAAAATACCCCAGTGCTTATGAGAGCAGATTGAGCTGGCAGGCTGCTTTTGAGTACTTTGCAAATGCTGAATCATCTCTTTTTTCTTTCTTCAGTTCACTAAAATGATTACTTTTCATTAAGCCTTCCCTGCTATGGAAGTTTATAATAAATTGACCAGATGTTTTGTTTTCTTATCCCTGGGAAACTCATCAGAAAAGTGGATTTACTAAAAAAAGAAAAAGGAATTTGGCCTGCAGAAAGTTGCTTAAATGAACAAAGTGGCTTGTCCTTGCTAGAAACACCTCTTCTCTCATCCCCAAATCCATAAACCCGACAGTTGTTCCAGCAGACTCTTCAGAAGAGGCTGGCAAGGCTGGGGAGGCCCTTTCCTTCCATGAGCACCGTCCCTCTGTACAGTCTGTGCTTGGCATCGCTTCAGGGAGAGGTGACAAGAAGCTGCTAACTGTACAGTCCCACCATCTGCACGGTGTCTGCATCTGCCTCTGAACAATGCTTTGATCCAGTAAATGGATGAGAGACGTGCCACAGCTCTGGCTCAAGCCTTTGCCTGACCAGGTGGGAAAGGCTCACAGGAGAAGGGCTGGGGAAACCTTTGGTGAAAGGAGAATAATTTTGGGGTTCAATCCTTGCAAAGCCACACACCTGAGTGGGACCTGAGAGGTGCTGACCGTGTTGGGTCAACTTCCAGTTCTAATTCTAATCCTAGTCCTAATCCTAATCCTAATCCTAATCCAGTTCCAACACTAATCAAGAAAAGACAATGAGGCTCAGAAAGACTTAAAAACACCTCAAGTCTAATTACGATTCAATCCTCTCAAGTAAGAAAAAATCCAGGAGCTGTATTTAGCCAGGACTGACATTGGATTTTTTGCAGAGGAGGATGATAGCCTCTCTGAAAAGCCCTACTTTTTTTATGAAAGAAAAATGAGCTGCTGCCATGCTTCTCTGCAGTAACTACTCATGTTTTTTCCAACCTGCAGAATTATTTAAGACTGTAGAAACACGTCCCTATCTACCTGCATGGCATTGTGCTGAAACTTTGCCCGAGTCTCTAGAATAAATGCCAGAACAATGTCCTGTTGATCTGCCCACAGTTATTTCAGATGATTCATCAACAAAGCAATCATATTTATATTAAATGCTACATACCAGATTCCAAATCAAACCAGATTTAATAACAAGGAAATATGTTCACTTCCCAACAGCACTCCACAAACCAATGTGAGCACAACCCCTTCGGTTAGAGACTATCTGATGTTATTCCCATTCCTATTCCAGCAGATGAACCCGCTGTCCTCCAGGATGCAGGAATATGTGTTGGCCAATTACCGCCCACTTGCAAAACTCTGCTTTTCTGGCTGCCCATACTTTAAAAAAAAACAAAAAAGCATCCAGCGCTTAGGTCTGGGCAGAGAACATGTGCAAAGAGGAATGTATTTTATTAGTGGAATTTTCTGCAATTTGTGAGAGCATGCAGGCAATAGAAAAATGTAAACTGCGCCCATCTGTACAGATAAGTGCTGAGCGTTTATTTGTGAGTTAAAGTCTGCAGGCTGTCTGTAACCCACAACATAAATGTGGATCTGCAGTTTATTAATCAAATGTAGCTCTGCGCCTTATCTGGGGCTCGATCAGTTCCTGAATCCCAGAGACTGCATCCCGCTGCAGGACAGGCAGGCGCCTGTCCCCCTCACACTTGGGCTCTGTCAGGGTCAGCAGGTACAAAAGCACATCCTTAGCCCGCTCAGTCTGGCCCATCTTGGGTGACAAAAAGCAGGAAAAAGATGAGTGTTGTAGAGCATTCTCACACACGGGATGTTAGTAACACCGGATTATTTACTCACTGGTCTTTGATGTTGTTGACATAATTTTCTATCTGTGCTGGGATTCCTTGTAGAATTGAGTTTCTGAATGTTACTCGATCAACAACTTTTCCGTGATGTCCATCAATCACAACCAGCTGGATACCCTCATCAGTGAGGAAAAACCTGACACCGTCAACCTGTGTGCGGGGAAAAAACATTCGTGATCTATCACAGTAACAATTCCAAACAACCACCTGTAAGAAGCACTGGCATTCTTCAGTCACAGGACTACGCCTTCTATCAAAGGGCAGAATTACAGATCTCTGAGGTCAAGCTGTCCTGCATTTTTGCTAATGTGGGGAAGTTACAGACTTTAAAAAAAAAAATAAATAAATAAAGCAAAATCGACCGGAATTTAATTATCCATGGAAATGTCATAAGCAAGTTTTCCATAAAAAATGCAGCAAATGCCTTGAATTTTGTACCATAAGGTTCACTGAGAGGAGCTGCTCACCTCAATGTATGCAAAGTCATCCTTTAGGTGGAAGTACTGTTTCTTATAAGTTTCTATTTTCACTTCTAGTAGGTGGTCCTTCATCTTCTGTTTACGAAGCAAAAACAAACAAGAAAAGGAGAGAAAAGAGATTTTCTAGTGAGGATGTGCATGCTGCATTTTCAGAAAGCATTTTAAACTTGAAATTCAATCAATAAGGAAGCAACATAATAAGCACTGGTTTGCCAAATTACACTGCTAATGAGACCGGGCACAACGGTAACCTCTCTGCTCATCCTGTCAGCATTTAAATGGTTTCACCAAATGGCAGAGCATAAGTGATTCTCACTTTGCAGAGCTGCCACATAATTCTCTGGGGCTTTGTTTTTCAGGGGTGATGAGTGAAAAAAACCAGAAAACAGATAAATATCCCTCTCCCTCCCGCAGAACCAGGCAGGACTGGATATAGGAGACAGTGTTGTACAAAATCCTTTACAGGGATGCGACATTCAGCCATGCAGCCCCTTCTCTCACACTGCTGTTCCTATAGCCTGGAGGAGCTGGGGGCCGGGCAAGAGACCTTGTGTCTCTCCAGAACCACCTTCTCTGGACCAACCTGTCTTCCAGCTCATCATTTTGCACCCTGTGCTTCTAAGCACAGCAATTCACAACAGAGCCCCAAAAGACTAAGTATCCAACTCCAGCCAAAGTCTTGGGTGGCTCTGTCCTTTGAGGACCTGGGCTCTTTGCAAGTATCTTGTTTCATGTACCTGGGCCATTTCAGAAAATCAGACATAGGATATACTGAACCTGGTACAAAGTCTTTCTGTGTCTGTGGGCACAGTATGTGCCAGAACTACAGATTTACACTGGCGATAACTGCAGTAAGAAATCAACTACTTTACCAGTTGTGTACTGGAGAGTTTCTTGGGCATTGGCACTTCCACTATTGGTGTCTCCATGTACTTGGGATAGGCCATGGCTTCACAGTCGCTGATGCCAGCCGTCTTTGGGATCACCGCTTTGATCCTTATTCGTTCACAGCCTTTGACAGAGCAGAAAGCAAATTTCTCCTTCTCGTTTTGAGCTTTGAGTTTCAGAAACAGCAGCCTGCAGGTAGGAGAGAAGAGTGAACAACATCCTTGAGACTTCTGTGTAAAAAATGACTGTCTCCCAGTTTTGGCAGACTCCTTCCTAATGCTTTGGAATAATGTGCGTTGCAAACCCTCAGTGCCGATGTCTGCAATTTATAGTGCTCAGTGTGCTACTTGCAAATAAAAGAGGACACACATCTCAGAAACAGTTTGGGGAGGTCAGGGATCTTAAGACAGAGAAATTAGATGACACCTCAGCCCCCTTTGAGCTCTATTTTATAATGACACATTTATCTAGAAATACATGGTTTGTGTGTCTTTTTATTTTAGGTCTCTCTTTCTTTCCCATTATTTTAATTTTTTAAAAGAAAACAACAGGCTTTACATTCTTAGTTCCCATACAGCCCTGTTGTGGTGTTTACGAATGTTCAAACCAAAAAGGGTTGGGTACGTGTCCAGTTCAGTTTCATGGTCTGCACTTTGCTTTTGTCTTTTTTTTCTAATTTGTATTCACTTGGCAAAGCATTTCCCAGAGTGACAGGCGGTGCAACAGAGGCTATGAATGATTGGCAGCTGTGGGAGTCCCAGGAAAATGAAACGCTGGTCACAGTCCCAGAAAGACTTTCTTTCTGGTTTTGTTGTGATCTCCACTAACGGCATTAGCCAACCGGCCCAGGAATCCGGCAGCTTTCTCAAAGCCATGTCCAAACAGGCAAGACTTGCTTCCTTACCCAGTGTCCTCATCCCAGTAGTAATATCCTTTGCTAGGATATCTGTGCTCCAATTTCTCCATTTGAGAGGTTCTATAGAAGGTTCCAGTTTTGTATGTTTTCTTCAAGAGACGATTGTGGATGTCTGAGAGAATGGAAAATGTCGTCCCCTTAGGATAGCAAAACCCTACTTGGATCCAGTCGTTCCTAAAAATAGCAAAGACCCACATTATAACAAGTCGACACAGGACTCTTATTTTCCTGGGCATGCTAGAAGCCAAACTAAATAATTCACTCTGAAACGCAACTTAATTTTTTCCTGGCCAGTTAGAATTTTAATGGTTTGGGACAAACCAATGCAACGTAAATTAGACACAATAACCATGGGTTAGTGAAGCAACTTGTGTCAGAGCTGACTGCTACACCTGTGACTTCCATGCACCAGGAATGAATTAGCTCTAGGCTTCTAAAAATGAACCGTGTTATCTTGCAGGGCTTCCCAGGGGAGGAAACAGGAATCTGAGATGTCAAATGGAATGATGGTGAACTCGATGGACTTCCTGGAACAAGCATGTTCTGAGGAAGAGCTCTGGAAGAGCTCAGGAGGTGATGACCTCACCCATTAAAAATGTGCAGTTACATTATTGGGCTGGAATGTTGGAATTTGGTCGGATCACTCACTTGTTGAAGTTGATGAGCCATATGGCCAGCTCTTCAGGGGCTGTCTTATCCCAGTGGATGGTGTAGCCTTTCCTCAGAGTTATAACTGGCTGATACTGCTGGTAATGAGTGCTTTTGCTCAAAGCCCCTTCCAAATAGAGTGGGTGACTGTGGTAGTCATTTTTTATTATTTTCATTTTCAGGTTGGCTGGCTTGTAGGCTTGAATGTACATCTAGATGAAAAAAGGAACAGTAAGGGTTTAATGAATGACAGTAAAACACAAAAGGTGCAGCTACTCAATAGATGTGAACTGGCACAACCACCAGTTGGCCTGTGACTTCAGCAGGGACCTGTATGCCCGACGCTTATATTAAATTTCTTAGGCTTCCTTTTCAGCAAAGTAAACTGTTTTCAGAAAAAAAGAAGGATCATTTCCTCATCCACTGAGTTCAAGAGTATGTGCCAGTCACGGCTTCAAGCAGGTCTGCAGCAGGGTTGAAGTATTTCACAGCGTTAGTGGCAACCCTCCGTGGTGGGACAGTGCCTGCCTTAGACATCTGACCTCTACTGAACAAGGACTCTCTGTCTGGATTTCAGAAGCATGAAAGCCAGCTCAGTGGTTAGAAATTGGCTTTAGTGGCACTACACAGAAAAAAAACAACAGTTGCAACACCCAAGGCAAAAACAGGAGCTACGCACCAGAGGAAAGTGAAGACTCTCTCAAGGCAGCAGCACTCGGAGCTTGTGTGGTCAGGAGAATGGTTTGGCGGTTACACAACAGGATGAAAGATCATGAGGGCCGAAGTCAAATCGTGACTGCTCAGCACATTTCCCATAACACTGTGGGCAGCACTTCCCTCCGCAAATCAAGGGAAAATAACTAGCCACAAGCCTATAGATTTATGACTATTAATCTGTTAATGCTCACGGAGCTCTCAGGGGACCTCAGGGAGAAGTTGTTAGAGCTGTTAGCAGTCAAGGCCAAAGTATCTGAAAATGTACCACAGTATCCTCATGTCCTAAACCACCTGTGCAGACACGCAGATAAACAAACCCTGAGCACCCTGAAAAAAGTCCATTTCTAAAGGTTGAGCTTCACACTGCCAAAAAATTTTAAATAAAATAAAGTTATAATGATACTGCAAGGTAAGCAGCTGTACCTGTGCAAAGCGTCCGCTGCAGATGGAACCTCGCCAGTCAGGCACGTCAATGCAGTCAGGGTGCTTGATTAACCAGTTATCTTCTTTTATCAGGTACGAGCCTGGATATTCTGACACAGAACCATCTACATCATGAAAAACTGATGTTTTGTCACCATCCATATCCAGATCATTGAACCAGGGGCCAGGTTCTCCAAAGAAGACCCTTGAGGTAATCTAAACAAAACAGTGAAACACGTTGACATCTCCAGAAAGGAATTCATCACTTAGAGTACAGAGCAAAGGATGGCTGTGGTCACTAGAGTGGCTCAAAGGACCCATTTTCTGCCTTAATTTGGCATTGGGAAGTAGCTTGGACAAGAAATAGTGTTGGGCTTGTGGGCCAACTTGTGCATGAAGAAATCTGTGTATGCACCAGCATCGCCATTCTTTAAATGACCACAGATTTTGGCTGCTCAGCTTGAGACATTGTAGGCTTGATGTTCAACAGCTCTGAGGCCCCATGACTCCAGATGAAGTCTGGGGTTGCAGGTCCTCTGAGATACCATTTATGTGGGAACAAAACTATGAGCTTCTGAAACTGACCATCCAGAGACGGAAGCATCAAAATAATTTTCAGCTGAGGTGGTTTTGTTAGTTGTCAGGAACATCAGTGCCACTTGGCACAGGCATATGAGGATTGTTGCTGCCTGCACACCGCCTCTTTGTCAAGCCTGAAGGCAGCGTAAAGCTGGGTCACACACTTAAAAGGTGTTTGATTTATCAGACAGAGCAGACACACTGCCTTGCTGACCATGGGGGAAAGGCTAAAACAACCAGAACTTCAGCATCAGCTGTGAGAAGGTTTGTTTCAAAATTCTGGAGGGCGGTTCAGGAGATGGGGTAATTTCACTAGAGCCACTTTACCTGTTGTCTGCTAATATATTTTGAAGGTTTGAAAGCCACATAGTCACACCGATGCTGGGAATAATCAGTGACCTCCCCCGGGAAATGGCTGCTCAGGCAATTCTGACTGATATTTTTATCCAATATAAATAAATGTCCTGTCACCAGCCTGCCTGGTGCAATGTGAGAGAGTGACTGAGCAACACTTTTAGGGGAATTTTGCGTTTCCCACCCCATTTGGCACAAGGATGGAGAGTCAGCCCTTTTGCTGACAAGAAAGGAAGTCTGCTAATTTTTTTTGAAAGTTAAGCAACCCAAATCATTTCAGTCCCAACCACTTTATTTATTTATTTGTTTGCAATGCTTGGCAGTTGGATTTAACAGCTGCTAGAGGTGAACCTCAGCAAACCAGTTAGCACATATTTGTGCAAGCAAATACAAAAATAACTCAAAAGCACAGACCCCAGGATGGGTTCAGACCAGCACCCAGAAGTTCATACTGTAATTCAAAGGCTGGCAGACCCTTTTTGGATGGGCTCTTCTCCCATTAATGTCTTCAGAACTGGAGTCCCAGGAATTACCCTGGTGTGCAGGGCTGCAGGATTACCGTGCATCAGCTCGGTTTCAATGGCCATTTCCCAAAATCAGTATTTTCTCCTTCTAGGTGAATTACACCTTCCACAGCAGACTTCCTTCTGTTGTTACTTTAATATTATGCTGCTGTTGAAAATAAAGGGGCAGATTCTTCTCCCTCTTTCACAGTTTCTGAGACATACAGAAACAGAAATTATTTTCACTTGAATGTCACTATTTTTTTTTGAACTGATGCCTGCTTCTGGTTTGCTGCAAACCTGTCAGAGAATTGGATTTCCTTGTCATTTCATCCATTTAATTTTCTCTTTCTTAGCTGCCACCATCTGTGTTAAACTTCTGTCAAAGACAATGGGAAACCTCCTGGAGATCTCATGTTTTCTCCTAAAGGCTTCTACACTCTTTTTACCCACAACCCCATTTCCAGGACAGCTGGAAGGGGCTTTTCTGAGAAGGATAACTCACAGGGACATCTTCAAAATGAATGTCGGTGACGTTGTTGTTGGGGCAGCTCTGCCAGGCGTTGTTGAGGCGGAAGGCCAGGGCACTCGTGTGCCGGCCGTCCAGGGCAGCGAACTTGCGGAAGGTGCAGTTTTGGACATTGATCGGTCCATCGTAAAACTGAATCCCTCGAATGGGAAAATCCCTAAAAAACATTTGGAAGACACAGTGAGATTTGGTTACGACACATTAACATGAGGATGAGAATCTATTCTAGACCTGCACAGTCCCACAGCACTTGTTCAGCTGCTTTCATTTTTCACAGCCCTTAGAATGACTCCTGAGTTCATGTTTTGGAAGAGAAGGGATTTCCCTCCTCCTTAGGTCTGCGAAGTCCTCTTATCCGTGCAAGTTCAGCTCAAGTTCTCTTGTGTCTGAACAGATCATCTTTATTTGCTCTGTGCTCCTCCAGGGAAGGAACTTAGAGCAATGCCAAAGCATTGACATAAAAATGAATAAATTCGTGTTTGCCCTGAGAAATGAGTTCTGCAGCAGTGAAACCTGAAACTCTTCAGAGCCATGCAGACTCTTTGGGCTGAGTAACGGCAGGGCTAAAGTAAGTCCCACCACATCTTTCAAAGGAACTTGGAGAGAAACAGTGCAACTCAACTGCAATAAAAATGGATTTGAAAACAAGGAAAGATCTTGCAATCTATAGGGCTGAAAAGAGGTGAAGGGGCAGAGTAATGAACCTTTATTAACAGCCTTTTCTGATATAATCTGCAAGGTAAAGAAGACACCATTTTTTACACTGATTAAGTGAACAAGATACTTAAACTCCTTAAGAGGCTAAGATAAAATGTTTCAAATTTCACTTATGGTAAATAAATTTGATCTCTTCCTCATATGAATGGTTTTCCTTAGACAAGACTTGCCTGCTCCTGTGCATTTGTTCTGTTCCTCTGAGTTTCTACACACAACACCCAAGATGAGATACTCCCACAAATATATACGTAAAGAATATTAGAAGGAGAGTCGTAGCAGACTGGGTTTTCATTATTACTATAGTTAATAATAAGCCTCCTGTATCACTACCAACAACCAAAGTTGAGGCGTGTAATATAGCAGAAAAAAAATCGTCTGAGCTATGTCTTCCCTGTAGGGCTAGGTTAGGATAACTGTTTTTAGGAATAACAACAAAACATTATTGCACTTGTAAACCAATCTGTAGGACTAAGGTCTAGGAAGAGGCCACACACGAAGTTCACTGGCCATTTCAAAACTATTTCACAAAGGCATCAAATTCCTGTAGCACAGCAGCGATAGTAACAGCAGCTTTGAGGACATCTGTGACCGCATCTGGGCCAGTTCAAGCGCAGGGAAGGGCTTCTAGGAGCTTTCCTGGCAGCTGACCTGGACAGAGACTGCCACACTGCTCAACCACTGCTGAGCACATAAACAGCAGTGCCCAGATAGCACACAGTCCTCTTGCTGTCTACTCAGCTCTGCTTGCGAAGAGGAGGGGGAAGGAAAGAGGAGTTTGATGCTGTCTTGGCAGCCTGCAAGTATGTACCTGCCAGCAGCAGCTGCACATGAGGACTTTGGGATCAGGAGATGTGAAACCAAATCCTTTGTGTGTAATGGTTATTAAACCAAACAGCACTGAAGAAACCACACTGGGCTGGCGTTTGCACTGGGAGTGAGAACAGAGAATGCTTTGATGTGCTGAGCTGAACTTACGGGCCGATGGGCAGGGTCCTTCCTCTGTGATCCAGACCTCCAGGTCCCCAGATCTCATTGTCCATCATCTCGGTGCCCAGGTTTCCACTCTCACCAACAAACAGGCTGTTCTTGATTTCTTGCTTTGAGCCATCATCATGAGGGAAAGTCCCACCACTGGGAGAGAAAAGCTGGAGGTGAAGGGGCTGCTCACACCCATCCCCACCAGCTCTGCCCAGGCTGCAGGACAACCTGTGCCACACTCACCTCGCCAAGGTCAGGCCAATGCCGTTGTCAGCAAACCTGCAAAGAGGAAAGCGATGCTTCAGAAGAGGTTCGGGTTTGCTTTGGTTTATCATGTCAAACTAAAATAAACAACCCAATGAGGTGGAAGGCAGCAGGGCTTAGTTACTGAACAGTGTTCATGGGGAGGCTCAGGATTTTCCAGATTTGTTCCGTGTCTGGTTTTGGAAGATCTTTTTTGGCACATCTTGCAGCACATGCAGATCATATGAAGCAGCAGACATGCACCTGATTGCTTCTAGCTGAGGTTAAGCTGGTGATCACTGGGCATGGTTTATTTGTCTAATAAAGCTTTTTCCCTGTGTCTAATGACCATGCTTTTTGCAGTAAAAAGATCGTGCTTATCTCTCACTCCAACTGGCTTTTGTTATTTAACAGTGCTTTGCCTTACACACACCTCTGTGCTCCTCTGTTTATGTGTCACGTACTCCTTCCATGAAACAAGTTTACAAGAGGAAATGATATAAAAGCAGAGAAGTTTGGCTTCTCCTTCATAAACAGAAAGAAAGAGATCAGATCTTCCTTATTAAAAAAAAAAAAAAAAAAAAAAAAAAAAGTCTTTCCATTTTGCTGAAATTCCAAAGCTTTTAGATGAGATAAAGCACAACTGTTGGTCCATGACTCCTGCTTACAGAAAGGCTACAATTAATATGATATATGAGTAAGTCTTGATGGTATCTTCACATTGGTGTCACTCTTAACACATCTGTCACTGATCCCAGCAAAAACACCCGCGGAGATCCCACTGCAGAGTAACACCCAGCTTTGTCCTGCTTCTGTCTGTAGATGGCAGCCCTTCACACGCCATCGCCTCTCCTCGCTCTCCAGCCCCATAAGCGCACGCAGTAGTTTGTATACTGCATGCCACATTAACATTTGTTTTGTTAATGTAATACATAAGTCTTCTTGTAGCAACAGAAATGGAAATTACGATGGCTATAAAGACAATTACAGTTTGATGTCTGCTTCCTCAAATCCACATACGTTCATAGGTTTGCTGCTGGAAACTGATGAAGTACTCGGTCTTTTAGCAACCGCCATATGCTGCATTTGCTCCGTAAGAAATGCAAATATCTCAGTGACATGAGCATGTTCCTCGAAGACAACACTTGCTGGTCACGGAATGGGCTAGATAATTCTAGTTCATAAGTTCAGAAGAAGCACAGACTGTACTACTAAATATCACGTTTCTGCTACCATCTCATTCTCACCAACCTGACCAGTTGCTAGAGCCAGCTTATAGCACCGTTTACTTTAAGAGGTTTGGGTCACTCGAAGGTAAGGCAGCTCTGGCTGGGAATTGGACACCAGATAACGGTGTGACAGCTATTCCCACCAGGGTTATCACAATATGCCTCATAAAGCAGCTTTTTCCTTTTTCTCCTCTTTCTTCATTGAAGTTGATATCAAGAGCCTGGCTCAGCAAAAGAAACTGCAGAAGATCATCTGTGTTCAGGGGCAAAACAAATATCTGTTCTGACCAGCACAGGAAACAGCCTTCAAAGAGCACAACACGCCTCTGCCCAGTCTCTCTCCCTCGCTGCTGTGATGCATAGTTTCATGTCTGCTTCATCAGTACTTGCTTATTCAGCATAACAGTGAACCACATAAAACTGATCTGTGCCCAGGCTTAGCCAGGGAAGGTGGTGGATTTTACTGCTTTCTTTTCAAAGCGCCTCATTTTTCATGTAAAAAATTAGGTTTTATTTTTAGTTATTTGCATCTGCGTGTCTGTGTGTGTCAGCATCACACAGAGAAACAATCTGAGGGATCTTCGGTTCAGACAAAGCAGGTTTTGTTTGTCTAAAATAATGCCTGTGTTTACTTAACGTTTCATCTTTATTTCAATCTTGGCCATACGGAAGGTGCAAAGCAATATAAATAGTCTGAACCACAGCTATGCTCGCCATAAACACCAGGCTGAACTCTGAGAGTTGAAATAAGGCAAAACTCACTGGCAGTTGTCCAGCCACACATCTCCACCCCGCAGCCAGGCCCCGTGATCCTGATTCTTGTAGGCAATAAAGCGCTCGATTATTGCAGGTTCCCTGGGCTTCAAAGGGTCAGCATCTTTGTGTGGGCTGTATCTGCAACCAGGAGAGAAGAAAGGTTGGCGAGGGAAGGTGCACAGCCCTGCTAAACATCTGGTTTCTGCTAACTCAGGAACAGCTTTGGGACAACAGTCCATCCAAGCAGTGTGTCTCGTCAAGCAGCCATGGCCAGACCCAGCTGCCAAGGGAAGGACGGTCCAGGTAAAGCAGTTGTAAAGACCTGCTCCAAGATTCCTTTCAACTTTCTATTATGGTATTGCTGATATACTGCTGAAAGCACGGAAAGTTTATTATTGCTCCCAAAAGTCTGAGATGTTTTTTAATCCCTTACTGTTATCCTTTAGCATATTCCTGTTATTTAGATAAATATTCTTTTGTTTTCCCTTTTGAGCATTCTTATCTCCTAACCTTGGCTATGCCGTGGCAATGAGTACTGCTGCCAAATTTTCCTTGCTGTGGAAAGGAATTAAAACATCTTGGAGAGGGGCTGAGAGTATGTCCTTTGTTATTCCTGTTATACACTACCCAGGACACATTTACAAGATTTATTAACTCTGAAGTTCTCAAGTATGATGAAATATCGGGCTGATGTAGGAAAAAAGCAGACACAAGTGGAAACTGCAGCAATGTGTGCCCTCAGCTGCTGCATGTTGGCCACCACTTGGGCCACAGGGTCTCGGCAAGGATCTGTCTCGCTACGGTGATGCTGAGCTCGGCTGTCATTTACCTGGTCCTGAGGCACAGCTCACCCTTTTCCTACTGAAGGGGCATCTTCTATCATACTACACAGCTTAGAAAACCTGACAGATGAGTATCCAACTCAGTGCCAGCAACGGATGGTCTAGAGATTGAAAGTCATGCGTCGCCAATGGGTAGCAAGGCCAAGCTGTCAAATCGCTAACTGATATTCAATAGTGCTTTGCTTTGTTTAATAAGCCATCATATCTATCTGAAACTGAGCATCAGGCTGATAGGGTTCCAGTAAATGAATATTGCTTTGGCAGCTTCATCACAGTGAATTTGCTTTCAGAGAGTGATTTAGTATCAGCCCTTGTGAATTCCCCAGACATTGTTAAACACAGATATTTTGAGATGGATTCCAGTTTCATTCACATCTGTGTATAACTGGAGGAACGCTACAGAGTGCAGAATTTGGCCCAGATATTTAATGCTGTAACTGAATGCAGAATAATCTCTCCAACTGTCCAGCCTACCTCAAAGTCTGCCCCAGCCAGTCCAGCTATAATCATTTATTCGGTCTTTCACTCTTGACACATGACAAGTGGTATAAATAATCTGAGCTGCAGCCTGTGCTGGTGGGTAATCCCCAAGCAGAAATATGACTGCATTATGAATTACTTGGCTTCCAGGGGCCATTCCTGCCCTTCTATGGCAAGGGACAAATTGCCTTTTGTAATCACTTACTGTGCCTGTGGCAGCAGGCACTTTCCCAAGGCACGTGTTCAGCGATATGAAATAGCAGCATCAAGCTCCCAAGAGAATTTGCAGATGCCTGCAGAGCAGGCTGCTCTTAATAAGTTATTTTATTAGCAGTTACTTTTATTATTGAATTAATGATTTCAATTAATTGAGCCTTAAAATAATGTAAATAATGTTCGCTTTTGATCATCTTTTGCCATCAGCTGCTGGGCAGGGCACTGGAGTGATGTGGGTCACAGGATAACTGATACCTGAGCTGCTGGCTGGGCTCCCCTGGGGAGGACAGAGCCCACCCCTGAGATGCTTGCCTGGTGCATGACTACAGCAATCCCGGTAACCCACGCCCCAGAGATGGAAAGGAGAAAGGAAGAAATAACAGCCATTCTCCACTGCTGAGCAGAGGTTTTCAGCAGGTTTCCCTTCCCTACATGGCTTCTTCTGTCAAGAAACCCATCCATGGGAGAATGTAGGTTGGGTACAACTGGAGGCAATCGGTCTGCCAGAAAAGAAAACTACGAAACTTGAGAATATTTAAGTCCTTTTCTCTCCCTGGGATTGGTAACTAAGAGCCAGACTCAACCTCTAAGGAGATAAAAGGGTGCAAGTGAGGTCCTTATGCTATTACACTTTGCCCACAAGAAGCCTTCTGCTTACATCAGCCTCCTCATGTGGTCAGCTTTGGGGGAAAAAAAAATCAACAGCATTCCCAGAAAATACTTTAATTTCTTATTCCTGGGAAACTCTTGCAGTAAGTGCTGCCGAGTGGGGCTGTTGACCAGACAGCATCTAATTTTCTTGCTAAACTACAAAAATACAAAAGTCAATGGAACACCCTAGAGTAGATGTAACATCCATGCCAGCTCAGCTCAGAGCTAAAGAGCAAGGACAAAACCAGAAGGGTGTGGGTGCTGGGGGTCCCTTGGGAAGGAGAATGGAGAAGATGAAGTTAGAAAGTTGTAAATCTAAGTTAAAACCTTTCCTCAATAAAAGCCATCATTGCAATGATTCTTGTCAGCTTCCTTGGGTGCTCTAGAGAAGTATTTTCCAAACCAAACTGTGCAAAACACTTTACCTCCCAGATATCAGTGTCAGGATAGGTCTTTTGTCCTTGGCTGAGGCTGGAGTGGTTTTGACGCCATTATCAATGATCATTCCAGCCTGAAAGAAAAGATAAATGCAATATTACAGCATGTTTTTATATTCTACAGTTCTTTCCATCTCCAGGCTCTGCCTCCAACTGTTCCAAGCCCAAGTCATTTGCTCGATCCTAATGACTGCTTCTGCTAGTAGCATGTGAAACAGACTATCCAGACTTGCACAGACCCCCCCCCCTCCCCAAAGCACCGCAGATTTCCAGAAACTGAACCTCTTGTAAATGTGTGCATCATCCCCATACACAGAAACACCCCGCTGCAGCCTAAAGCCCTCTGTAACAGTAACACACAGCCCCATGACATGGCACGCTAAGGGTAAATGAGTAAAGAGAAGGCGATTAGACACAGCGGCCCGTATTTATCCCTCTAGAAGCTGTTCAGTTAATTGCTAACATTGGCAGTTGAGGTCTATAATTAGACAAGCTGCCAGTAGATGCTCCTGGAGGCACTATTTTAGGAGTGCAGCAGCAGAGAAGCAGCCTGAGCAGAGGGAAGAGCCTCTCCAAATGCCCAAAAGCCAAGCAAAGCGGGTGCTGGCCGACTCTGTGTGCTCCCACGCCAGCACGCAAGCTGCTTTATCTGCAGACACAAGTTTGCAGTGACTTGGAGTGAAACAGAAAGCACAGGCATTAATAGCTTGCAGACCCAAAGAGCTGGTGCGAGAGGGTGGTGTTTTTTTCGAGGGCAACGTTCCCGTTGCGTGTAGACTCACCCGGTAGTTGGAATGCGCGCGGTTGTTGGAGAATTTCCCCATCGGCATGTGCTCTGAGTAGCCAGGGGAATACATGCCTGCCGAAGGGCCTGTCGGCACATGGTGCAGAACAAACCAAAAGCCTGTTTCCTGACAGAAAGAACAGACATCTGAGCCTTTGCTTCACCGTCTTTGCTGATCTACCTTAGCCCAAGGTTTTATCAGTAAAGCCACAAGACAGAAGCCAGAAGATTTCAGGACAAATCACAGCTAGCAGCATTGACCTGTATAACTATATGCAGTAAAAAGTTTAACACACACACACACACACACACACACACATTCACACTCACAACCAGCATCTTCAAGGTGCCTTAACTTAAGCTCTGATATCTATACTGAAGCTATAATCAAGACTTTCAAAATCCATAACACACACACACACACACAGATGTCCTCCTATCAACACGTGCGCGCATCTTAAAAATAAGATAATTTTATTTAGTTGCTTAAAAATGTATCTAGGAGCCCAAATCTAGATAGACAGTTTTGGAACCTCTGGAAAGACCGCATTGCTTTGTTTAAGGCTTAGTTTGCTTGTTTATTTGTCTTAGTAGGAAAATAAAGGCTCCTGACGTGACCAAGAATTCTTGTGGAATTAGCATTAGTGCCGACTGAAATTTCAGAGCACCATTACTGTACTGCAATCACCACAATCATTGCCAAAGACTTCACTGGGACTCCACAGCCACATTTATTTAATTTATTCAGGCTGCACACTGGGCAAAGGCTGGGAATTTTTCTTAAAGCCATCCAGCTCTAGAAACAGCAAGTGACAAGAAGTGTGGAGCAAAAGGAAAAGCATTCTTTTTTATTGTCAGAACAAGCCACGTTAATATGTGTCTCCATCTAGCAGTGTCAAAAATGCCTGAGTAACAGCAACAGGTTCTATTCCAGCAAGAGCCTTGCAGGGCTGTAACCGGTCTGAGTTGTTACCAAACACGAGACTTCTGCACTCACTTCAGATCCCGCAGCTGCACAGTTGATGAGGTTGTTGTGTGGGTTGGCTATCCAAAAGGTAGATACGGCACTGCAGGTCAGGAAAACAAAGAATAACATGAAAATGACACTTTGAGCACACACCAGGGTCACCCACCAACTCCCCCAGTGCAGGCAGGGCCGATAACTCCCCAGATAAGGGGTCCTGCCTCAGGGGCAAAGGGAATGGTTTTTTCTTTCTTTCTCGTCTCATACCACATGTGTCCTCTGAGGTTTGACAGAGAGCATGGCCTTATCTTTTAAAACTCTGAGTATTAAATGAGGAATTTCTACTGCCATTCCAAGCCTGCTATGAAGCTGTCAGATGTCCATCACTTTTTATGATAAGATGAATATGTTGTTGCACAAGTCACAGAAAAGAACTTTGCCCCCCAAATAATCCCTCAGGTTCATCAGAGACTCGTTTCATCCAGGGACCTGATGAATTGCCTCTTAAGGGCTTTCCAAGTGTACTCCAGTACCTGCCTTCTCCAAGAGCTGCTGTGATTCATTAACTTTATTTGCTCCCACCCTCCTCTGCACCTCTTTTGGGACAAAAGGACTCCATTTGTCTAATGTATATAAAAGACTCTTAATTGAAAGATTCCCATCAAGGAGGAAAGACCAATCCATCACTGTCCATCCCCTGACATACAGCATTCATTAACCGACAGGCACATGAACTTACAGCCAGCAGACTGGGTCCCTAAATCTGCCGGGTGAGATTCGCCCCCCTGCAGGGGATGGACCTATGGAACCCTTCTGTCTATTTCAGTCTTGCTATGAAGGACTTCATAGGGGCTTTAGGCCAACGGATTTTGCTGGCCTTAGATGAAGTTTTGTTTGTGTGACTTTATCATGAAAACATTACAATTTTTTTTTTTCTATTTTGGGCATGGGACCGGCCTAGAAAGAAACAATTTGAGATTATTTATAGACTACCTCCTGCTGTGGAGGTGAGGGCAAGGACATTGTATTTCCACAGTGACCTGTCTTTCAGCCCGATCCCATCTCTCAGAGCCACGTGGACTGGGAAGGTTACTGTGTCATTTGGCGCAATCCTATCGTCTTATTTTCTGTCAGCGGCTGCCTGCCTGCCTCTTCCAAGCTGACGGAGCCGCAGCTGGTGCTCATCCCTCGTCCCTGCGCCGGGTGCTTGGCTGCTGCCCTAGGAGCAGCGTTAGCATACTCATGCACTTGCAGGCTGGATGAGCCCGGTGCAAAACACATTATTTTTCTGATCAGACCTTGAATTCTTTCATAAAGGAAAAAGTGGCAGATCAAAGTACCATAGGACCTTCTCATTAGAACTCCGCCTATCATTCCTAGCACTTTTTCATATAACAGTCTTCAAAATGACACAAAATATGTTCCTCTGACTATTAAATGGGTTATCAGTGGAAAACAGGCACAATGGCTGATTAACTCTTATTTTATGAATGGAGACACCAAGTGTAATTCATAAACAAACACAGATGTGAGAAAGAGCATTGCATGAATTCATCTCTTTTCCTTGCCAAAAAGCTAAAAATATGTTTCTTTGGACAAAACCCCAGTTTGTTCTGAGGACAGAATGGATGATGCTGGTACAGTTCTCAGCAGATTGAGAGTATTTCCAAATAAAAGAAAGCCCCCGAAGATTTTTAGCTGTTAGGCATCAATCAGCTTCTAATTGTCTCATTTTCAGGATGGAAGCCTGGCTCCAGAGAGTTTCTTGTTGACTTTTTGTGGGTCAGAAATTTCGCTTTTTTTTTTTTTTTTTTTTTTTAGTTTAGATTTTCCCCCCCTCCAATTACAGCAGAATGAAATCCTGGAGACAAATCTGTACTACAGGCAGAAGTGCTCCTGTCTCCCAGCAGCTTCAATACAGCACCAGTGCCCTGTGGGCTCAAGATAAATCTTCACTGTGGAAGACCTCCCATTCTCTTGCACAGGGGTCTTGTCCTCAAGATGATCCACCATCAATTTTAAACTCTTAGAGGCAAGCTTGACATCCAACTTTTAATGGAAACTGTTCTGAAAACAATGTGAGTCCACAGATCTTCTCCAGACCGCTTGCTATGCACCCTGGACCTCAGCTGGGGATCTGCTTGCCCAGCTGCTGAGCACACAGGTTTTACTTTAATTTGTACTCTCTCAAGAAGAGTTGGGGGGGATGGGGAAGAAAAAGAAAGATAATTAGCTGTGCACCTTGATTTTTGGGGCAGAAAAACTGCAGGAAAATCATGGAAAGGAGGGCTAGACTGGCCTTCAGGAGCTCAGTGAGTCCACACCCTGCCTTATGACAGGGTCAGCTACAGCTACAGTAGTTGTGACTGGCATTTCTCTATTCAGTGCTTAAAAATCACTGCTAATGTGGAACCCATTAATTCCTCTAAGAAAAAATTCTAACGCTTAACTATGCAGCCAAGCTGGTTGTGTTTCTTCTACAGTTCACCTGATTTTTTTTCTACAAGGCAACAGAACAGCAAAAAGAACTTGTAAAATCCCTTCTTATTGCAAATGCTTCTATAATCCTCATCTAAACCTCAGTTGGCAGATCTGCAAGGACACTTAGAGGAAAGGATCTTTCATTCTTGGCATTTTTCAAGTTTAATACAGTGTTTGTGGCAAACAGAAGTTTTGAGAAGTTCTCATGGAAACGTTTTAATGAGCTCATGTATAGACAGACTATTACAGACCCAATGGGTGTAAACAGTCTTTGATCTTTTATTGTCAAATTCCAATCCTGTGCTAAACCGCATTTATTATATTATTTTGGTTTCACTCCACAGTTTAGTTAGACTGTGCCAAATGAATGGATAATGCCAATGCTGTATCATTAAACAGTATCCGTTCTTTGCAAATAATGACTTCTGAATTAATGGGAGTATTTTCAAAATCAGCCACCATTCAACATGAGCACTAATGTCAGAGCCCAGCCCACTCTGAACTCAGCAACATTTTGCTGAGCCATTGGGGTCAAGATTCCGTAAGGCACAAGGCATCACTGTGTACATCAAAAGAGAGCTTTTCAATATCTGAGGTAGCAACCATCTCAACAGACTTTAGGCTAAAAAGGGAAATGACACCCTAAGTGTGGAGGCATCTAAATAGCAGAAGGATAAAGATGCTGAGGAGACTGCTCCCCCAACCTCTGGGGCACGCAGCCCTAACCTCTACAGATGACCACATAATCTTATACATGGTATGCTATATCTACGGCTAAGTCCTGCAAGGAAAATAAATAAGAAAAGGAAGGCTCCCACTCACCTGCAGTCCTGCCTGGGTTTAGGGATGTACCCTGGGTAAGCACCCTCTGTGATCAGCTTGCACATCCTGCTGTCTCGGTCGGAGGGGAGCAGGGTGCTGGGTTTAACAAGCAGCCCAAGGCAGTGATCAAACGTGTTGCGCTCTTCTGGTCCATCTTCCGTAAAGAAGCAATGGCCCAGTGCATCATAACCCACCACATCCTTCACCTGCATGTACAAAACAAAGGTCTGTGTTCAGGTTTCATCCTTCAGCCACCACATAATAAGAAGAAACTTTATAGTAACGGCACATAGGAATGTCAGTACTCTCTTGAACTCAGAGTGTATAAACAAAAACAAAAGCAAGATCACTCTCTTCTCTTAAGAGCCTATAGTCTAAGCAATAACTCCAACACTTAAATTTAATTAGAATTTGTCATCACCTAGGAAATGCTCATTCCGTTCTTTTGTCTGCCTGTGAAATTAGAGACTGTTTTAGCATAAGGCTGGAAAAAACACCGGATGGGGGGATGAATGGAGAATGTTAGATGTTCAAATCACATCTGGGCTCATTCATCTTCACGTGGAGTTACACAAGCAGCTACATAAAAATGCATCTGAAAAATGCAGCTGAGCTGAAAAAATATTTTTTCAGGCTATCAGAGAGGTGGCAAGTTGTTTTCCAGACAGGCTGGCTTGTTTTTGGTTTGACCTGATCCTTTTTTCCAAGTCATTGACAGAAGCTTTACTTGACCCTGAGACAAATCAGCTGGTGTTAATCAGTGCTGTTCTGGTTTTGGTTGTTGTTAACATTGGGACACCTTTGTGCTGGACAGAACAATACCCACCACAGAAAGATCTGAGAAAACAATTTCAGGAGCAGGTATGTGAATTCGAAGCCTAAAGCTGGGACTGGCTGAGAAACAACAGCTCTCAGACACACCATGTCCAACAAGCCAGTTGTTGGTGGATATGTCTGGGATATGGAAAACTAATTTCAGGTCTCCATTAGCCAGGCGAAGTGCTGGCTATCCTGATCTCTCTCCTTGCTCTTCCCATCAGCCATCACCCATCAACCACCTTGGACTTAGAAAACCATCCTGCCAAAGCTTAGCCTGACACCAGTGTGTTCCTACAAATGCTCCTGATGAAACAGCCATTGCCATGGGGCAAAAGACAATATTAAACTGGATAGAAGACCTATTCTTTATGGTGTCATTGAAAGAGCTGGGCACACAAGCACCCGAATTATTTTTGTAAACAGGCCTGAGACGACTCTGTCATCTACATGCCTCATTCTCAAGGCAAGGAGCACAAATTTCAAATAAAATCCCAAGACTAGTGTTGAAATTATTACAAATATGTTCTCACATAAGAAAGAAGTCTTTGCTGCCAAATCTATTACAAGCTTACATGGGCACACACATCTATTATGTATCATCCATGCTCCAGTGTAAATGCTCAAATCTCTGAACAGGAGTCATCACAGTAAATTAAACACAGCTAAAAAGACCTGCAAAGTGCTGCATTCCTCTAAGCTACCTCTCTGAAATTGACTGCTAACTTCCCGAATCTAATTAGATGATAGCTTTTGCAAGGTTGATGCTTCTTTATTTAGGTGTAAAACATATGTACTAGACAGAAGTGTCCCTCCTTGGAAGCATGAGCTGCCCCAGCCTTGTAATTGTAAAGACTTCAGCTGGGGCAAAGCCCACCTCTGTGCATGGGGAGTAACATCGCTGAGACGATCTGAGAGAACATCTCCTGGTACGACGAGAGAGGAGTGAAGCACTGGCAAAGGGCCTCAGAGCCAGAAAATGCCCCTTGTTCTCCTAACTCATCCCTGAAAGCCCACAGAACAACCTGGAGTTATCAGCCAGGGACCTGGTCCCTAACATACTTGTCACCCTCTGTCTGATTAATTACTTTCCCCATATCTCATCTCTCGGTCAGCTCTGACTTTAGTTTCCTGTGCGTGTTTTCATGCACGAGCCCAGTGCTGAAATGCTTGGATAGCAAACGAGATGCTTGTTCCAAAATCACTTTTCCAGTGGATTTAATTTTTCATTTGATTAAAACCTTCCTAATAGTCCAGAATCTTACTTTAACCGTGAGTAATTTATGGCCAGATAATGCATTTCATTGTAAAACAATTGCAGCGCAGTACAGCTGGATTACTAAAAGCAGATACCACTGAAGCAGTTAGAGAGTACAACCTCTCATTCCATGAAGCACAGCTCTCCCCTGGATTCTGCCAGACTGTTTATTGACCTCCATTTAACTTCCCTCCCCATTGGCCGTTTCTATTTTAGCTTGCACACTGGGATGCAGTGGAGAGAGTGGGAATCAGAGCAAAGTTTCATCCCTAGGATTGCAGTGGCATAATTAGGTGGTTTTCTGGCCAATGTACTAAAGAAAACATTGGGCAATTATTGCATTTTCAAACAATAACTATGGTGAGAAAAGAATTTCTACAATTTGTTTCCAGAAAGACCCTCTGTGCCTTGCAGTGAACATGATCTTGTAGACAAGTGCAAAACAGCCCATCAGTGAAGTGAGCTCATGTTGAGACAGTGACTTTTAGCACACTGCACAGACCACAAAAAAAAAAAACATTTCTGTCATTATGAATAGCTGGACACTTTTCTCCTAGTATTTTCTGTGTGAGTGTCTCTGAAGTGACAGCAGAAAAGTTACAGCAAAGCAAGCAGGGAAGTCTGTATTACCAGCCTGCTTTAATGACAGTTAAAAATAACTGATACCCCTCTCCCATTTGTTAAAGCATTTGCACAGGTACTCAGCCACAGTCATGCAAGAAGCCCCTTTGAAATCCACAACCTAATGTTAAGGCCATCCTTAAGTGCTGTGCTATGCGGAGGTTTAAGAGCCCAGCTAGGTTTTTTGTATGGTTATTTCCAGCGTGTGGTTTGTGCACATCATCAAGGCAAATTTTCCCTCAGCAGAGTATACTTTGGGTCTACCTGATCTCAGAGGGAATGAATGTTACCTGGGGGAGGTGGAGCTCATCTCTGTTTGCACAAATGATGTTGATGCAGGTAGAAACAGGTAGTGCTGCCCAAGTAAGAAGACAACAGGCAACTAGGAAATGTATAGAATAACCATTGTACTCATCAGAGACTCGTGGTTGTCTGTGAATGTATCTGGGGCAGAAGGAAGAGGAAAGGAAGGAAAACAGAATCAGAAAGCAGATGAGGAGATTGTGGTGGGATCATTTGATGAATCAAGGCATGGAGCTGCTTGACTACAGATGTCTATCACAGAGCAATGAAGCAACATCTAAGTGATGCAACCTTTGGAGAGTGTCTTCTGTGACGCAACTGAACAGACTTGGTCAGATTGTTTTATTTCACTGGGGCTTTCTTTTCAGCTGTCAGTAATAATTATACAGTTAAAATAAAAAATAGATTAAGTATTATGAGCAGAACTTAGTATTCACTAATTTTGATAAATTGTAGTCAACAGAGACTAAATTCTTGACTAACTTTTCAGATTATATGTCCTAAATTCTAAGACTTCTTTTGGATGCCTTGTCATAGAGGCAAAGCACGGTCGTTTAGGGAATTGTGGCTGTTGAGTAACAGTAAAAGAGAATCAAGCTGCTTCCGTCAGCTATATCAGCCTGTCTAAATTTCATCATGCCGCCTTGCCTGAAAAAGCCTGAGCACATGGATCCCTATCCCATGGCACAGTTGTCAGCTGGAGAAAGCACAAGAGACAGAACTATTTCCAAATGCTCTATATGAATCCATCTGTCTGACCGATAAGAAAAATACCAGGTTCTGGGTATTTGGTTCAGCAAGCACTCATCAGTAGGGAATGAAGATCTCACATTAGCTCCAGAAGCAGGGCTTTAGGTGTTCTGCAGCTCATCAACAGCTGTGCAACCTCGTGCACCCAAAGACTGTGTTTGTGGTGCCATTGGTAATAGCCCATGATGGTGTGACACACAAATCCTGCAACGCTGCCCTTCCACTCTGCCCATTAATTGTATACTGACCTCCTGTACGGGTGACTCCGTTGGAAAGATGCCATATGACCCTGAGTGCCTTATATAACTTACATAGTAGAAGGCCTTTTTTCTTCAGAAGCTGTATTCACTTTGTAGGTTTTTAGAATCATGTTATAAACTTAGAAGGAGAGAGAGGTCAAAACCCTAAACCTCAGAATCAAAAATAGCAGATAAAAGATGCTCTGCTTCTGGAGCTACAATTTCAATGCCTTCTATTCAACTTCTGTGCATTTTAATTATGCCTGTGACTTCTCCTTCCAACGTTGCCACTTTTAGAGGCTGCAGTCTGCAGCACTTGCCAAAAGGAAGACTGTAAGTTGAAGCCTTCCATGTGCTGGAGTCAGTAAAGGAGGAAGCACACATCAGCAAGTAAAAGGGCAAAAAGCGTGTCTTAGCTGGGCATTGAAAGCAAATGCTATTTCTCAAATAAATTCAAGGAAAAATAGATTCTTACAGGCTCCTACCATTAGATGGTACGATAACTTTAAAATGATGGTATGGTTATGAACCACACGTTTCTTTCCCTCTGCATCCTTACCCTAAAGAAGGCACCCCTAGAACTGGGGAGAATCCGAACATGTTCTTACCATCTCTGGTGTGCTGTAACTTATCTGGTAAACATAGGTCATTTTATAGATTTATCCTAGAGGACTTCTTCTTTTGGAGAGTAACTGACAAATCAGATCTCTGCGAGTGCTTAATGTTGTGAATGGCATTGCAAACACAAACCTTTGTTACAGGAAAGATGAAGCACACTTAAACCTGATTACCCTCTTTAAAAAAGCAAGCTGTCTGTCTAGAGATAAATCCAACTACTCATTAGAGATGGGCTGGTCTGCAGACATCTGCACACAGACAAAAGCTCTGCCTCCTTTGAGTCGTGCCCAGCCTACAGTGCCACATTGGCCTCCTCCTTCTTAATGCAGGTTGAAATATGCCTGGAGTATGTAGCCACATAGTCAAGATGCAGAGGAGAGTCAGACAATAGCTCCAACAATAAAACACATCACCCGGCAGTAATTAAGCTGTATTCATGCTGTGAGGAAATATTTTGACTGGTGCCTTGATCTCTCAGGTAGACATCGGGGCTTCTTACCAGCAAACCATTGGATCCATGGACTGTGACACAGCGGGAGAAGGTATGGTGGATGGAGGCATCCTTCACGTACGTCGGAGGGTTGTAGCCTCCTTTCTCATCCACATCTCCAGCCATATGGAAATGAATTGGGTAATGTCCCATTGTCTGCTGGCCCATATATTTCAGTTCTAGACCTTCAATGTGGGTAGCCTTAAAATTGAGACCAATCTGGAGAAAAACAGAACATCAGTCAAGATATATAAAAAACTGTAGAGGGCAAGACGGAGAGGGATAGGGAAGGTTGTACGGTATCTGCTAGAGAGATTTACTGTGTGGAAGGGAGTGTATGGCTACAGAGTGAGGGAAGGAGGGTCAGGGTGGCTAAGGGGACTATAGCTTGATCCCACCACTGCTGCCATGGCTACATTTGACTTATTTTAGAAGGAAAACCATATGCATTTAATGTTTTCCGTGAGTTTCAATCAGCTGGGCTCAAATCAAACTCCCTGGGCTGAGCATCACCAGAATCTGGGGAAAACTGAGATCAGGATGTGGAGACTGTATCTTGGATGGGTTGAGCACCAGCCTGGCTGGCTCAGCAACATCTGCAGAGGTGTGAAGGTGCACTTCAAAGCCAAGGGACAGGCAGCAGCAGCAGGGTGGATCTGCTGCACTGTGGGGAGAGGCTGTTTGCTCAGCCGCTGACACAAGGGATTTTTCTCTTTCTGCATCCTGGCTTCCTGGTATGTGAAGGTGTGGCTGGGAGGAGTAAAGTGCAAGGAGAGGGTTCCAGCCCTACCTTGATGTGTCCCCCGAAGGTGTCGAAATCAAAGAAGGAGCATAACTTGTTGCCGTACTCATAGCACCGTCCCTCCATCTCACCCATCACCACGACATTGCGGCTCAACAGCCCCACTTCTGCCCGCATGTCGACGCCATCAACGACTTCACCAACGTGGAGGTATTTTGCTTTCCCTAAAGGAACAAGATCCAGTTTCAGGGTTACTCTGCCAACACTGCTGTTTTCCCCTTGTGCTTCCTGTGGTGGGGTTAGCGTGATAATGAAAGGAGTAATTGAGTCAGCAAAAACTGTTGGCCGACTCCTCAAAGAAGGGAAGGCTGGAGCACAGGTGTTGCCCAAGGTCGTGCTGAGATATTTGCAATAGAGGAAGTGGAATTTTTGGTCTTAAGTTGCTTCATTTAGCCAGGGAGTTAAACCAACAGTCTGCCAGATAAAACACATTTCCTACCTTGCAAAAGGATCACTCGAGACCTTTTCACTTTGGATTACAATCACCTGGGTACGAATGCCCAACACAAAGAAAATTGATGATGTAGCTACTGAAAAATCTAAATCACCAAGGTTAGCTCAGCACTTCATACAGCGAGACACGGGGAGCTGCTCAGATCCCACAGCACTAATCATGGGCGAGCATCGGTCTGATCCTGCACACGCCATGGCTGTTAATCTAAGCAAGGAGAGGGCTGGGCAGAAGGCCTTGTGGAAATTGTGAGTTAGGACAATTGCAACCCCTCATCCAGCTTGTGGGCTAGAAATCTCCTGCTGCCTGCCCTCCCAGACCTCTCAATTTTAGATCCACCTACATATCTCCAACTTGCTCTCAACACTTCCCTCTGCCCTGGTGTCGTCCGAGTCAATGGGATCTTCCATCTACCCCATGCCACATGTTCCTTTGCCAAGCCAGGTTGCTCACAACCTCTTACACACACACACTTGGCTCAATGGAGAGGTTAAAAACACAGAAAGCTTTCCCTGGCCTGACCAGAAAGGGGTAAAGTCCAGGCAGTGTGGATGTCTAGAAAGCAAAATAATCTCTCTGCTGTAATTTCATTGAAACATATTCATATTCCCTCCTTCCTTCTGCAGCTTTCTGCAGTGAATGCAGTTGGGAAAAGGTTCATCTTACTGACTACATTCTGTATTATTCCAGTAAAAATAAGTAATAAACCCTTTAAGTAAACACTGAACTTTAAGGAATGCTACACGTGCACGTATTTAACTTCAACGGAACCATTCAAAAGAGTAATTAGAAACAAATGGCGAGCCTGAAGCCTGGCTATCGCTGCAAAGCACTTTATGCCTAAGCAGAGGTGCCAAGTCAAGGGGAGGATTTTGAACACTGAAAGTCTTGGTTTTAACCAAAACATGATGCTTTGACTTTATAACAAAGCTAAAAAAACACCATTCACTCCCTCTTTTTCCTGGAGCTGGGAGCAGTGTAGTTTGATGGCAATACTGGGATTTGGGAAGGGTGAGCGCTCTGCCTTGCTCCCCTGCTCAACTGCTGTTTTGAGGGATGGGGGTCACACTGACACATGGGCCCTCCACCTTAGCACCCTCACCTTAAAAAAATGTAATTGTGAAAACACACTCCCCGTTAACTGGAGGAGTGGGGATGGCAGGACAGATGGACGCTGTTACCCAGGGCTGCAGTGGGAAGATGAGGCTCCTCTGAGCTCTGTGCTCAGCCCCAGAAACGAGAGGCTGCAAGGTTTGCACCTCACCCATGTTTGCAATTGCCTCCCTAGAAAGACCCTGGGCTTCCTTGTGTTGTTGCCCTGAAGCCAGCAAGTCTCATCAGGTGTGTGGCCAAAACCAGACTCAGCCCATCCAAAAAGCAGCTTTGCTTCCCTTATTCACATACATTAAAAATGCCGCTGCAGTGTGTCCTTCACACGAGGATGCTCTGGGCTGGATCCTTGAGGGAGTCTGCTAAGGAGCACAGCCTCTTATTACGAAATGGTTTTTAAGCTGTTATTTTTCACTTTCCCCCAGAGATGACCTTTCCTTGATTTACTGAAATGCAGGAAGAAGTGCAGATAATCATAAGAACATCCTATTTCAAGCCACATCTCCAGGATTTGTAGCAGTGAAATTAGATAGGCAGTTTTGTTATTCATGTGCTGAGCTCTAGAATAATAAATGTCATGCTTGCATGTATTTAATTTAATTTAACACCAGTCCAGACATGCAAAATAGTGTAAGCACTGAGAGGAATGTTAAATACGGACTAACCAGTTTCTAAATATAACTTCTTGGGTGCATGTTTTTCACTTTGTGCTTTTGCTGACTTGACTTGTTTGGAGATAAAAGGAGAGATGGAAAGCAATTCCCTTCCAATGTAAAAGTGGATTTTGAATAATAGCTCCTTTAACAGAGTTTTGAAAAAACAAACCTCTCCTCAAGGCAGACAGAAATTCAAGCTCCCCATGGCAATGGGAGCCTGTGCTCCTGAAACAGCTTTCAGGAGACTGACCCTGGCATAGGAGCCCTCAGGTGCTGTAAATGCCTGATGGAAACCAGCACCGGGCACTTCCCATGGGGTCGGGAGCACCACAATGTGCATTTATAGACGGGTGGCACTTCCAGGGAGCTGCTGGGGCATGTTCAGTGATGGGCATGAAAAAAAACATTAAAAGAGGTTGCTCTGTGATGAATTCAGGGAGTTCACATGGAGATGGGAGTGTCTCGCTTGACAGAGTTGCAAATTTGAAGTTAGGCTGCTCCTTGCAGCCCGCATGTGGCATCTTCCCAGGGAGCAGCCGTGATACCCGAGACCCTGGGCACTGACCACGGGCAAACCCAAGCCAGTGTTTTGCGAACAGGCACTGAAGTTGTTTGATACTAAGAAAGGCAACAGTGTGCTTTGAACATGGGAGGAATGTGCCGGCTGCTCCAGCACCAAAGCTGGTGCCTGCGATTGCCCAGCCGCCAACAAAGCCAGGGCTCAGTGATTCACCATCTCCTCCTTTGGGCTCAGTCTCGCTGCATCGCCTACAGACAGATATTGCCTCGCCACCAAGCCAGGCTTGTGCCATGTTATCATCTAAACCAAACAAAGCCTTGCAGTGACACGGATTACATCTTCCCACTACCAGCCTGTGTGACGGGCTAGGAAAAACCGCCCTGGGTTTGCTGCTCTATTTGTCATAGCAGTGCCTCCAGTTACTCCAAAATGTACATTCACAGGGAACAACTTCTAATGTGTGGGCTTGCCTGGTAGAAGTCTTGAGTCAGCAAAATATGAGCACATTTCCATGCTTATTACTCAAGACAGTGACTACTAAAGTCACCAGTTGTTGCTAAGAACAAGGTAATTATTAAAAGAAAGTATGCATTAAGATAAACATAGATGATCCTCTAATCAAGGGCATGCTTATGTCAACATAGCAATTCAAAGCAGCGTCTCTCCAAACTGTACAAACTCCAGGAAAACCTGCCATACTTGAACCTACCCATAAAACCGGAGTCTCAGGCCTTATCAAACCTAGGAAGGGTGGAGTTTTAAAACTATTTCAGCTGCTACAGATGTGGAAGAGTGCTCAGCTCTGGCGAGGTACACAGATGTCTCTGAAAACCCTCCCAGGTACACTCATGCATTCCTAAATGCCTTGGATCTAAACGACACAAACTGCTAAATCTCCCTTTCAGAAGTGAAACAGCCACTTGAAGGTCTGGGTTTGTGAAGATAAAGTGGAGCTAAGATGCTCCTGTTTTAGTTGTTTTTTCTCTAAAGGGTCTTTTGTTCTCCTTTGTGCTCTCTAAAGCTAAGACCTTCACTCTCATGGTCTTTTAATGTTTCCTAAACAAAAGTTTTTAAAGGAAATGCTAAACACAAACTTGTCTGTTCAAGCCACATCATCCAGTGATAGTGAATCCTTCAGGGCATCTTTAAAATCAGGGCACATTGCAGATGCCAGCCCAGACCTCTGTCAGATTTAGCATTTTTGCCGAACACTTGGTATCACTGGTGGTAATGCCCCTATTGCTTATATGTAATAACCAACAAATGTTCACACAAGCATCCTGTCAAATCCTAATTGTTCTGAATTATCTCAATGGGGTTTGCTATTACATCCCTACGACACAAGACTGTAATGCAAGGCGGAATGGTTTGGGTGAGCTGACCAGTTTCTTGAGTGATGTAGTACAACCACATGTCTTAAAGAATAGATATTCCTTGAATTCATAACTTTTATGAGGAAAATTAAGTTTCCAGTAGAAAGACATACAGCAGAAATTACGAAACTTCATAAGGAGTTCAGAGCCAACTAAGCCTTTCTTGGGACAGTTTTCTGCTGGGAAACTCATCCTATTACAGCCCTTCAACCCTTTCCTCCTTCAAGATCCTGCACGGTGTCCCGCAACGGTCAGAAATACACCCTCTGTTGTAGGAGTGTGAAGAGCCTTGAGTTCATGTGGGTATTACTAGGTGTACGCTTAAATGCCGTGTTGGATCAAAGCCTCGGTGGCTCTTTGGTTTCAAGGCTGAAATGAGTGGCTCTTACTGCGGCAGACAGGTGCGACAGGAGGAAGATCATGCAGGTCTGGTGGACAAACAGATCAAATCCTTACTTACATCAGGCCCAAAATCAACCCTTCTGAACTGTTATGTAAACTTGAATATGCTTCTGTCAACTCTGCTTCTAGGCAACGCCCAGCAGTAGAAGAGCTCTGTAAGACTGTTAGAAAGGGCCGTTTCCTGACATTTCCTGCCCAGCCCTCAAGCACCAGGGTTGCCTTAAAAAAGAGCTTCTGGCAAGTTCCAGCCAAAATGATGCCAACTTCTAAACAGAGCCTCTTAAATCTCTAAAAGAATCTGAATTTTGATAGTGGAGTAACTTCTCCCATCCTTACAGCACAAGATGAATACTAACACAGGCTGCGGAGTTGCTAGACAACTATGTATTTACATTTTTAATTTGAAGTTCTCTGCATGAATGAGATCACAGTAAATTCCGTATCTCTATAGTATTTGCAACCCAATAAGCAGGATTTAAGATATGTGTTCCTGTAATCAGAGATTCACCATTATGTGGGATAATTGGAGTAATTATGCCAGGCACACATAGTTTTTTCTTGCTTTCTCAAGAGCATATAGAGCACAAAAGAGCATTTCATCATTTTTGTTCCGTGGTGAAACTTATCAGCATTAGTAGTAACTTCATACAGAGCAACCAAGATGCAGATAAGACTTGTTTCCCAGGGAAACTAGACAAAATACTTGATCTTTCCTACTATCCAATTCTATCATAACACCACAACCCTTCCTTCCTTCCTTCCTTCCTCCTCCCTCCCTCTGCCCTGTACTGTCGTCCCTCGCCAAACCTTGTGAAGTTGAAAGATCAAACAGTTTTAATCTGTTCCCACAGAGAAAATAATCTAGGCACAAAAATGACAAGAAAAAAAATTAAACAAAAGAGGATAGTGGAGAAAAAAGTTCCATTTAAGTGAGCGACAATTTGACCAGGAGCAGGACCTGCAGAGCTGAGTCCTCATGCAAACCATAAGCTGCTTTGAAAAGACCAGTCTCTAGTCAAACCATTTCTAGCAAGTAAAGAAAGTAGGAGTTTTCATCAGGAAGTATCAAATATAAATAGGACATGAGCTAACTAATGAGTTTGACTTATTTGGCACAATGCGCTAAACCATATCTATTCAAATATTATTAAACGATGAAAGCATCAATTATAATTAAACCTTGGTATGCCAAGTGGCTGCCCCACCAAATTGTCTGTCCACAAAGCAGAGGTTTTCTCCCTTTTTTTAAACAAAGAGACTATTAAGTAGTTCAGACCTGACATTTAGGTTTCGTTTAAAAAAAAAAAAATGGAAAGGAAAAAAATAAAGACTAAAAGGGAAACAAACCATCACGGGTAGGAATGGTTTTATCATTTGTCTTTCAAAGGGCAGACTTTTGGAGTTCTCAGCTGCTAAACTAAACCTCTTAGGAAAATTAAGCCATTCCACTTATTACAAACGACATCCCTCTGAGACCCCATATATCTGTGTGGAAGTCTTTTCTTGGAAGCAGCAAAGCAATCTTGCATATCTCACACAGCAAAAGGAAGGAAGATATTTATGATTAATGTCTTCTGCACACAATTAAGAGCCTAATGTGGCCACACAAGCATAGTGGGGCTGTTCACCTGTGCTAAGGCTAGAGGCCAGCCCTTTGCTTGCCAGCTCTTTTTATGTGCCTGCTCTCTGTCGGCCATTCTCCCTTCACACAATATTTGGCGAACCACTGGGACAAATAAAGCCCTATTTAACAGAAGGCTCACGGGTAATTAATCGAATCCCAATAAGCTTCATCAAAGTCAGTGCCTGATCATGGGTCAGTGGATTCATATACTCACGGCCACGCTAAGACAGGTTTCAGTGCAAGCCAAGATCTCAGCATGGTGGTGTTTGCCTCCTCCAGCGATGAGCACACCTCAAAACCAACCGCTGCGGTACTGCTGCCCTCCTGGCAGGGCAGGGAGAGTGCAGGCAGAGCTGTGCAGGCTGCAGGCAGCTGCAGGCATGGTGGAAGGGAGGAGGCATGGAGAGCACCCACCCCCGGCTCATTAGTGGTCCTTATTCTGGCTAATGTCACGTCATGGCACAGGGCAACGGATGAAGTTACACCATAGTCGGGAATAGAGAAGCTCAGGGACCTCCTGGCTCCTAAAGACAGGGGACATCTCAGCCTTCCCCAGGTTTTAGTTCATCTAGACTGAACCTGGAATCAGGCAGATTATTTTATTTTCTAGTGTGAATGTGCTTTTGTTACAAGAAAGTTGGATGTGATTTTTATTACTGGACTAGATTTTGCCTTGATTTATATAATCAGTGAAATCCCATTGACGTCAATGGAGTTGCCTGGATATAAGTATGGGCAGACTTTGGCCCTGGTGCTCATGTCATTTGTGGTAATAAAAAGAATGTCCTAATTCTCCTAAGGAGTAATTGGAGACCAAGAGCACAATTACTTTAACAAGTGTTTCCACTGCTGCTTTACTTAAAATTCGCATGAACTTTTTTGTTGTTTTTAACCCTTTATTAATTTCCTTAAACTAACTTAGTTGTCATTGTTGTAGAAGAGAAATGTAATTACATGAATTTCACTGATACATTAGACTATGGGAAGCCTAAGAGAAAGATTCCTATGTCATCTTTATTTTTACTGATGATCTTCCAAGATCATCTTGATGTGACTTGTATTATACATGTCTGGTACAGTTTTTCCAATAGCTCAAAAGTTGCTCAAGAAAAATATTCAGCTTGGAAATGTGTGTCCTTTGAAAGTACTAGTCACTTTAAGTCATAAGACTATGATACATTCAAACTGTGAATAACATTTTTCTTGGCTTGATGAGCATCTCTCTTCCGGGCCATCCAGCAATGAATGGCTAGAGCTCTGTGGGGAGGCAGTTGCCAAAGGAAGTATATTCGTACCTTCCAGAAGATGTTGCATCAGAGATAGTGGTGAAGTAGTTCATTTCACGGAGCTGAGAAAACTCCCTGGTGCACTGGATGTTCCAAGTGCTCTCATGGTTTCTCAGAAAGATCTTACTGTAAATGCAGACAAAACCTCTGCCTAGAGCAATTGCCAGTGTGTAAGCAAAAGATAATATAACATGCATGTTTTACCACCAGGCAGATCCCGCCTTTGAAATACAGCCTCAGCTGTTATATACTTCTATATTGTAAAATAACTTTTGCTTTTGTAAAGTATAGCAAATAAAAGTTCTTCATTTATTCACAGAAAAGGCAGTTCATGTGGTATTTCCATGGTCTGCTTATCAATGTGCCACAACCTAGTTCTAGAAGGAAAAGACCACTTCACTGACTCAAGTGGAGATGCAGGTCTCTCACTCGGGATTTCACAACAGTGAAATGCCCATATCGGTAATCGTCTGTGCTCCACCACGGTTATGATACTTAATTAGTCTTAGTATCTGAAGGCCACTTTACCATCACTGTACTACAGTGTCTTTTCATCAAAAGCCATTTGTTCTGGATTTGAACTAGTCAGCTTCAAGAGAAAAATACTGTGGCTCTGCAAAGGGTCCAGGTCCTCCTGCCCAGACTAACTTAGGCAGTGCTCCACCAACTTCTGCTCCCCCAGTCCTGTGGCTCAGCACAGCTTGCTGGCCACGTGGTGCCAGAAATGTTTGGTTAATACATCACCTCTAATCAATGCCGTCTAGAGACATAGTTAAACAGTAGCTTCAGTAGTACAAAACAATATTTCTAAAATGTGAGATTACAGATCTTGTTAAATGCAACTTTCTTGGGAAAATAGCCAGCTGCAGATGACTTCATAGCCTCACAGTCCCTCCCGCTCTGCTCCTGCCCTAGCTCACTCTTCACATCAGCTGGGCTCGTCTCCTGCTTTCTAGGAAGTGACACATTTTCAAATACAGTTATGCAAAACTGAACATTTCAAATACATGACCTGTATTTGTCTCTCTTAAATAAATACATCCATTCACTAGTGTGCTTGGGGACAAAAAACTGGAGTCAGCTATGAACAAGGAAGGCAGAAAGGAACCAGAATCAGGTTAGATGGCTTTCAAGCATGAGAGGCATATGTTTTACAAAAGCATGTAAAACCTATCTACCAAATTCAGGTGTCTTGCAAACCTTTGCAATCCTTAAGGGAGTTATCTCAGTGCAAATGACAGAATTTGCGAACTGCAACACCAGCATGACCAGACGAAGCACCTTACCTGCTACCTTGACCTGGGTGGGTCTGCAGGTTCTGCACAGCAGGACTTGGAACTCCTCCGCCTGGTACATGGAGTAGTCAGTGCTTGCGACCACAAGCCTGTCTCCGGGTTTCCATGAGCTCACGTCATCCACCAGGTTCAGGATCGTGCTGTTCACATTGGTGTCAATGGTTACCGTAAGCTTTGGTTTCACTGAGAAGTCAAAATGGAAGGGTGGAGAATTCAGTTAACCTTATCAGAAAACGCTTGCTCTTTTTTTTTTTTTTTTTTTTTCCTTTTCCTGGAACATCACCAAAAATGATGATCTCCTCATGCAACAAAAAATAGTTAACTCTTCCAAACACCCTTTTTACTCTCTTTGGCTTGGAAAACAAACAAACAAAAAAGTGTTTTCCTTTAGTTGCAGGCAGGTGGATTTTCCACTGACCCCAGGACTAAGTTTAAAAGCAGCTCTTAGTGGCTCATTTTCACCACACCCACTTAGCAGCAGCACTTGTGGGTGCTGGGCACTGTTATTTACAGCAGCCAAGTGGTCTTTAGCGTAATGACTGCTTTTTCCAGCAAAACAACTGTCTTCCACCCTTCTTTTCCCGCCAGCTGAGCGGGGAAGAATCCTAATGACCTGTCTAATGACCAGGTTAGGGACAGCAGTGTTGGAATTAAAAACTACAAAATAAAGCGTTACTTTCAAAACCTGTTGTCTTTGCACGCTCTGGTTGACTAATCCTATCTCATCCCAAAATGCTTTAGTAAAAGACAAGATGTTTACAGGAAGGGACTTGCCAAGTATTTGCCATGGTCTCGCTGGGTTTTGGAGGCACCACCCTGTTGCCTCTGTTAACGCTCAGGAATTTTTCCTGAGATAAATCTTCAGCCTTTTTATCTGCGTTCATGTCAGTAGCCCAGCCAACGTTTCAGCCTGGGGAATTACTCAAGTTGTTCTTACACCTAACAAGAGTCAGTCATCGGAAGATGGTATTTCTGCTTTTCCATGATCTGGCTCTCAAACACGGGGCACATACCGGATCTGCCACACAGGAACCGTACTCGGTAGTTCTGGCAGCCCTCGCCCGTCTGGTCCTTGCCACGGCACAGAAACCTGTAATCGTGGCCATTCTTGTAGAAAACCTCAGTTGTTAAATTATCTCCATCAAGCGTCATTGCCTGGAATGAGAATAGAAATACAAAACAGGTGACACCTTGAATGAAGGTATTTCACCAAAACATTGCCGCCATCAGAAGAGGCTTTTGCTTGGTTTTGGGTGATGCACAACAGTTGTATAACAAAACATCGCTGTGTGTGCTATCCAGCTGGCACTCCAGCTGGTGCTCAGACACAGCTATTTTATCCTCAAGCTGCACAGACTGTTGCTAGGTGCATGCCTCTCTCCTCTATCTATATTAAGACCATGTGCTTTTTTGGGAGGAGTATTCTGACCTTCACTAACATCTGCCTTGGTGCACTAGATTTTCTCCTGTCGTTGCTTTGAGGACAGATGAAAACACTAAACACAGATGCTTGCACCCAAATGAACTCATGGTTCCAAACCTCTTCACTGCCCTCATTTAATTGCTTGTGGGTGGACTATGTCTGAACCTCGCAGAAGAAAGAGGTGGGGGTCTTATTTCTTCTTTGCATGGATCAGTCTCCCTAAGAAAAAAAAACAAAGTGGCTCCAGTACCCATTGCTCCAAAAGGAACAAGAAGAGGTGACCTTTTCTCACACACAGGTACCGGCTTGTAGACCTGCCTTGAGCAAACAGGCTGTATTGTAGCAGTGTGATACGTGGCCTCTCCTGTGTTCCTGCTGGGGCCATGTCACCCCTCAGGGTGATGTTAAATTTCACAGTCTGGCTCTATAGCTTGCAATTCTCTTGACCTTTTCACAAAAATGTGATGCATTGCATTGGGCAATCCAAATATCACGTGCATTTTAACAAGGCACCAGGAGATAAGCCATCTTTCAATGAAGGGTCTGATCCTGACTCTCTCACTCACGCAGACCTTCCTCGTTAATGCAGACGCCCCGCTGCCATGTATAGGATTAACACCAGCAGCTGAAGGAATGTGCCTCTGGCTGTGCCGCACTTCTGTTATTATCATCATACCTTCAATTTTCCTGTATGCAGCATAGCCAGAGCAGGCCAGCTGCTATAAATCAGTGTGACTTTATGAAAGCAATGAGCAACACCAGATTACACTACCTAAGGATTTGCCCTAAGATCTGCAGGATAAACTGAAAAATGTTGTCTCACTTTTAATATACATGGGGGAAAAAAAAGTAGTTGTCATTTAACAGAAGAGAAAAAAAAAAAAGTTTGTGTCTCGAACGGAAGAATCTCTTTCTTGTTTCTTTTCTAACACGCATGCTAGAAAGGGCTGTATCATAACAAACATCTGATCCCTGTTTTGAAATAAGTTGTCACTTCTAATATATGTATATGGAAGCAGAAATGAATGTGGATTTGCTAAGACCTAGCAGAAAATTATAGGGTAGTTTTTTCCTTTCTGTTCGAGAGGAGATTCTTTATAAAATCTAGCCCTGGAAACTTTCACTCATACTGTCAGCATTCCCATTGACTGCAATAGCCACATTCTTGTGAGTAAGGACAACTTCACTGGTTCCGAGTATGCAGGAAGCTCAAGTTCAGCTTCCCACAGACATGAAGTATTTTATTATCTTTTGCTGGGCAATGCTTCTGCTATGGTGTTTTACCAGGTAGACATATAAAGTATACGGTGAGGATATGCAAAAAAAAGGCTTGGTTTTTGCTTTTTGTTGTTGTTGTTATTGAAGAGGCTTTTGCAGTGACAGAACAGGTATATGATTTCTCCTCAGCATGCTGGCCCAATGGCATAATTATACTGTTTAGCCCCAAACAGAATTCAAATTTATTTCCATAGAGAAAAAAAAAATTGACTCCAAGAAATGCCTGCAAGCTCACCAATATTTTTTGCAAACTACTACAGCTGGTCACTTTACCATCTCATTACATTTTGCAATTAATTTTTTAGGTAGGGTCCATTCCAGGACCATTTAAAAATCTTAAAATTTTAATGTGTTTTTTCCTTTTAATCTTCCAGCAGGGAACCACATATTTCATGATAGCATCTGTGCTGTCCATGACCCATCTGTACTCCTTTTCGTGCCAGAAGCCAGAATTTACTGAAAGGAGCTCAATTCTATAAACTTTTGTCTCAGAATCATACAAGACTGAATACCAGATCTTGTCGGTTGTGTATTAGAGCAGTAAAATAATCAATGTCTTCTATCTAAAAACAAAAGATTAGTGACAAGCACAATTATTTTGGTGTTCAGTGTCAGCCCAAAGAGGACTTGCCCCTCTGAAGCAAGTGGTAAGCTTGCCTACCTGGATGTCGATGGGTTGCCTACAGATTTTATCAGGATGAGCAGCTTTGAAGTCAGAAAGCTTCTCCATGTCCTTCGATCTTGCTTTATCCGGCTTCTGAAACCAGTCTGTCCATTCTACATCTGGACACAAGTACAAACAAGAAAAGTCATTTAAAAGTCAAGCTTAATGAATGCAGCAAAAGTGCATGAAGCACAATATGATCTCAGATATCATTCACAAGTTTCTTCACTGATGATCTGATTCCTGCCTCTTCCTACCAGTCTGTCAGCTGCTTTTAATGATGCTGTGAAGGGTAACCAGCCCAGGGAGAGCAGACTTACTAGAAGGTACATAATTGGAGTATGAGGTATGAGCATTATTAATAGGTATAAATTTTGGATCTATGTCTTCCTTAGCTGCCTTTCCTGATCTCCAGATGAAGTTACTACCAGTTACTGCATGTTGCCTGAAACACGCCTGAAACATGGACATGATGATGACACAGTCAAAAGAAGTCAGAGGTGGTGCGTGATCTCTTAGATCGTAAGAGATGGAATTTCATACCCAGTGCAGTAAAGGAAAAAGGATCCCAGTTATTCAGAGAGTCCTGGAGACAACTGGGGAAGGAATCTGTGCATGTTCTTTACTTGAGTTAGCAGCAACATAAATAGTAGCTAGAGAGTCCACTCTTCCCAGATGGAAGTGTATTGTAATAAAAAGGATGATTCACCCTATTTTTCAACTGTCTACCACTGAGTTAAATGGCACACAGACTTCTTACCTTGAACCCACTCACTAGTTGAAGAGACGTTAAAAAGTTCTCCGTTCTCAGCTTTGAATAGTTTGAATACTTTGGCTACAGCTGACCCTTTGTGACCTGTAAAAAAACAAACATGGGTAAAATAGTTGAATGCAATCAATAAAAGTCAGAACTGAAAAGCTAATGATCCATGTATGTGTTTGCGTATTTTAGCTACATTATCCAGAATTATCCCTGCACAGTTTCCAGAAAAATTTACTGATCTTGGAATGAGGTTTCACTTTTAGAACTCTTTGGACCATCAGGAGGAAGAATCTTCAAAAATCGAGAGGATAAAAAAGCATTATTTGTAATATATTGCTATTTTTATATGATGTTGCAGCAAGCCATGTTGTTAGCTGCTCTTGAAAATGTCATGAGAAGACACAGTAAGCCTCAAAAGTCTTCAGCTTGCAAGAAAATGGTTTGCAGGAGTATTTGAGGCTGCCAGTGCAGGACACACTGATGAAATTTTCAGCTGGTGTGAACTGCGTTTGTTCCATAGCTTTGTGTCTATGAGAGGCAGAGTCCAAGTTCAAGAGAGTTACATGGTTTTACACCAACGCAGGATTTCACCTTTTATCTCAGGGTTTGGATAACCTAGGTTATACCCCAACTCAGCTGCTTCAGCAGCATTAATGGAAGAAGCAATATATACAGCGAGCATTCAATTAAATATGTCTAGCCATCAATTGCTCACAGCTTCAATGTAATGAAGTGTCAAGTGAAAACACCATTGACCAAATTAATCCAGCCATAACTCCAATAATTTCCGGAGATAATGTCAAGCCAGCGTTTTGTGCATGAATTACCCTGATATTCAATGTGGTCTTCAACAGAAGAGGCGGGATTTCCTTTAACGGTAATAAAACTCCACGGGTGCCTGAAAAATGAAAATGAAAAATGATAAAGTTATGTCATGTATGAGATGCCTATTTTTTATACTACAATGTTCTTGCATTTCTCAGGGGCGCCACATTCAAGACTGTCTGATTAATGTGACAGGCAGCTTGGTTAAAATTAAAAATATCTTAACACTGTATTTCCCTAGTAAATATATCAAAAGAGAAGGAAGCTCAAAGACAAATCCCTCCTATAACAGGGGTTTTCTCTTTTCAATGAGTGTTTAAAGAGGCTTGTGTGTGATAGACCCACAGGACACTGGCAACTCTTTGAGGAGCCCAAAAATTTTCTTTTGTGTGTGTGTGTGCGTGCATGCACACTAAAGAATATGAAAAGAAGCCACTTCTGCTTAAATAAATTTATCTCATGCTGCAACCTTGTACATCACAATTGCCTTTGGAGTGACCCATGAGAATTTCTAATAGACAGACTGGGTGGCAAAGGTCAATAAAAAATACCTAGATAGCATCTGGATATCTATTTTCTTTATTTTGGACATTGAACAGGGATAAAGGTTTATGAATCTGAATTGTCTGTTCAGATCTGATCCTATATGAGAAGTAAGTTCATTACTGCCTGACGGTTAGTAGTTGAGTGGGTTCGATAGCTATCAGCAACACTGGAGAATGACCCCATGGATGAGTAAGCAGTGGAGACAGAGACTGAAGTGCCTCCCAACCTCAGACGTGAACCCAATTAGCGGGGGTCAGGAGGGAGTTTTATTTTCAAAATAGAAGTTCAGGCATATTTGCTGTTAATGGCTAACAGAATAAAAAATATGGTTTTAGGGTGGTGGGGAGGCTGTCACCCCTACCCTGAACTTAGCAAACAGTCCCACAGATTGAATCATGTCTCTGGAGGTATAAATACTCAGTGATTTCAATTGCATCAAGAGTCACCCTTGAGTCTTGCAGGTCACCTCACATTTACCATTTGCTGGTATAAGTGAAGTGATAAACCGCTAGGGGACTACAGAAAAAAACACACACAGACATTGACAGATAGCCACTAAAACACACACAAATCCCACAGGCATGAGCTGGGCTTTGCTGGGATTCACAGCCCTGGGCTTTGGGGCAGCAGGGGCAGGCTGAGGGTGAGCACTGGTGCACCCCATGCCGTGCTGAGAGCCCATGCACGCACCAGACACGGCTCCTCGAGGGGAGGTAGTCCCCATGGCGTGTCCCCAGCCCAGGCACGGGGCAGGCTGATGGGAGCTGCCAGCACCAGTGCTTCGGGAGCCTGCCAGCCAGCCAGATGCTCCTGCTGGAAAACGTGCCTGTGCGCCAACTGCCCAAGGCACTGCTGGGCTGTGATCTGCATCCAGGGAGAGAAGGGGGATGGGGGCAGGAAGGACACTTTATCACTCAGCAGGCAAGATAGATTTGGTTTTTTGGGTTTATTTTGGGTCATCAAATTCAAAACAAATGACAAAAAAGATGATGGCCCCAGAATAATCTGAAAAATAATCTAAAGAATAAGAAGCTAGCTAGCTCTGCAACTCAAGGTTTGGCCTCATTTCATATGTTAAAATAGTTGTTTCTCCCAGTTACGTTATTGCTAAAAATAGTTTTAAAGTTATTCAACCCTAACACATAAGGACACACGCAATCTGTTTGGGCTATATAAAGTGAAGGGACCAGTAAGTCCAGAGCCAAACCAGTGATATTTGGGTGGGATTCCAAAGAGAACAACTGTGTCACGGAGCTGAAAGGCTTTCTGTCAGGAAAAAAAATGCAGCTCACACTTAAAGAGAAAACTCACTTTTTGAAAAGAAAACAATAGAGGAGGTATGCATGAGTTTCCTTTCATTCCTAAGGCTCTGGACTCAGCAAATAGGCAACTGAAATTGATGTCAGGAGCACTGAAACATTTTTGGATAAATCAGCATTGCTCCTTGGCTCCTCTGCAGCAAGAGGGAGTTGCACAACTTTACAACCTGGCTGAACATGGAACAACTGGAGACAGACAGGAGTTTGTCCATATAACCCCCGCCACCACTCCAGTCAGAAAAACAACCCAGACTACGGCTGAGTAGCCTGAATCAGGTAGCACCTCACAAAATGTGAAATAGAATTTTCCTACGCCAAATTACTGCCTAGGGTCACACCGTGACTGTCTCAGTGATGGTCAGCTCCAGGCATTGGCATGGAGCTGAGGAGTTCTGACCACCAGGATCCTCCAGGACCTGCCAGCCAGCACTGGGTGCTGGGCAGCAAGTGGTTGGAGCATGTACATGGGCGTGATAGAAAGGAAAATCCATCCTCTCTCCTCTGGCAGAGCCTTCCTTTGCCACACAGGTAAAGTCTCATCCTGAACATTTTTTTAAGATCTTCCAAAAAATTTAGAAAAGCCCCTGTCAGGTGTATACATCCTTATTCATACTTATAGATGTGTCTGAAAAGTAAATCAATATTTCTAAATCTTGTCACATTAAAGTGAAGTGGAAGTTCAGTTTGAATGGATCTGACAAAGCCACCCGTCTTCCACTCTGCCATCTGCCTTTGTAAATCTGGTCCCAGCTGCCATCCAGACAGTGGTTTTTTTTTTTGAAAGCTGATGAACTTAAATGCTGAGAACACTCCTAAAAATACAGTCTTTTAAATAATGCACCAAGATGCAGGTATTTTTCCACATTCCACTGTGCTGGTGGGAGACAATATTTACTAACTAATACCACATTACGGTACCCACGATGTCCCTATTATTTATATAAGGAAATACTGTGGTGTTTCAGATAACACTATGGCAAGGATTTGCTTTTTAACTGCAAACAATAACAAAGGTGAAAGTCACACTTCCATGGATTAATTTCTGTGGTATTTCCATTATAAGCATTTATGGGAAAGAGCTGAGAAGTTAGAATTAAAACATCACAGCAGTCTAAAAACACCAAATGCAATTTACTTCTATAAACATATGTGAAACCCATCAATTTCTTCCTGTTGCACAATTGGAAAAAGGAAGTATAATGTTCAAAAATCTTTTTCTATTTCCCTAATTTCAGTCTTGGAAAAGAAACCCAGCAGGTTACTGGGCTTTAATACAGGGTCTGGGTCCCTGAGAGCAAGCCTTGCACTGATGGAGATAGCCTGGTTTTGGAGACTATTTCTGCAGCTTTGGTTGATTCTTTGAAATGCATTATCATGTGCACAGGAGTCCCTGTAATATTTGACACAACCTCTTCATCAACCACCCCAAATCTTACTCCATCTGCATGTGCCCAGCTGACATTTGTCTGTTCCACAGACTGCTGTATTCAACCACTTCTCCTTACAAGTTAGGAGTTTTTTTGTTTTGGGGTTTTTTTTTCTGCAGTGATCCTCTTAGTGCCTCTAATAAAAAAAAGACTACATAAATTCAGACAAACACAAAAAATATAATGGTTACAGTTGTATAAATAGCAAATATTCTCCACAGTGTGTGTGCCAACACAGACACTGTATTGGTCACAGTCCACAGCATAAATTCATGCTTGCTAAATTTCTGTGCTGAACAAGTCACTGAATGTGTATTGGACAAGCTAAAGAATATGCTGTATGTATGTCTATATGCATTTAGCCAGGGCTACCCGGCTGTTATTCTACCCTCCTTCATGTTCAGCCATTCCAATCCACTGTGTGTGTGTAGATATTCTTAAATCTTTGGGGGATGGCTTGAAAATAAATTGGAATAAGTAACTTGTGGGAACAATATCTTGGAAAAACATCTTTTTCAATGTGAATCATATGCTACTCTTCAATCTACTAATAAAAATACCCAATATAGACACTGAGTACATCTTAAACTATCTAATTAACTGCTAAAACTTCACATTGAGAAGTTTCCCTTTTTTTTTTTTTCTTTTTTTTTTTTTCTTCCATGTGAAAGAACTTTGTGCTTTTGAGAGAGTGGAATTATTTGGACATCTCAGGAGAATAATAAAGCCTCTGTGCTGGGAGAACTGGCAGGACTGGCACATACCTAAACCCAAGGTGGAGGAAATGCTTGCTGCCCAGTTTGGTCATTGCTTTCCTGGCAGAGTCATCCAAGTTTCTAGATCCTTCATCGTTCACTGCAACCGACAGGATCATGCCATTCGCAACTCTGCCCAAATACTGAGCAAGACGTATGCTTTCCTCTTTTGCTCTGTAGGTATCAAACCTAAAGTAATAAAAAAACCCAAAAACATTTACTTCACTGAGCATCACAGCTGAAAAGCAAGTGTTCTGAAGAAATAACTTTTCTGTATTGTTTACCGTAATTATATTATCCCATTGCAAAAGCATTTGTCTAACAGTGTATATAAGGGTTTCTGTTAAGTCAAATTGATTACACTCCAGTTGACAGAATAGCAAGGCAGTAACACTACTCACTCCTTGGTTTTGGAGATAACTTACTGATCTAGAAAGAATTCCATATACATGCAATGACATCCATTTGGACAAGATGCTAAAACATGTGTTTCTGAGCTTGCTGAGATGCTGTCCCCAACCTGTTCCCAAAGATCTTCACATCTAGACAGCTGAAAAGTCACTCACCGATCTGAATGGACAACTGCCCCTGTCTTTGGGTCAATAACGTGGACAATGACACCTCGATGGCCCCAGCTCCTTTCAAAGTAATATCCACCTTCTTCCATGCCACCAGGATGAAGAGTCTTGTTTAAGAAAGTCCAGGACAGCTTCTTCTTTCCATGGATCTCAAGAATGCCGCCCTTACTTACTCCAAGATACTTCCGCCCAAAGTAGGGATCCGGCTGGCTGCCATCATCCGCTCTGCAGGGAGGAAAGGAACCAGTTTTGTGTTTATATCTGACAGTTAAGGAGTCTCTCTCCTTGTTCTGCTATGGCCCAAGGAGAGAAGTGTCATGATTTGCAATGCATTTCTTTTAACTACTCTAAGAATGAGCAACTGCTCGTATTGTACAGAAAATAAATATTTTGAAATAATACTAGCAACTGCTGGAGACCAGCAGCAATCTGGAAGGCAGATTATACATGTTATGTTCTTTATATCCAGGACAGGGGAGGTCTGAAGCCCAGACTGAATGACACATTTGTGTTTTTGAATTCTGGAGGAAGCCAGGACTCTAACCAGGAGCTAGGAGGTCTAGTGGTTGTCAAATATGAGTTTGACATCCTTGAAAAATCTAAGAGGCTCTGTAGCAATCTGCAAGACACAAATGTATTATCTTTTGACTCACCACTTTCATGCAGAAAGAAAGGATTGTTAAGGAGGAGAAATTTCCAAATAAAAGAACTCACTGGGCTTTAAGGCTATTCTGGAAAATCAGCCTGAGTGGTGGCAAGGTACATGCTGATTTTCTGGCATGCCCAAATACCCTGGTGTTCATCTCCCAGTAGTATTTGAAAGAAGAACCAAAACTGCATCCGTTTTTTAAAGGGCATTTAAATTGTTTAAGAAGCTACTGAACTTTCCCCAGAGCACTGATAAGTGTATCTGAGAAAATGTCATTTTAAGGGACATTTTTCGTTCCTGTTGTGGAAGAGAGATCGCAGAAAGTTCTAAGATAATATTTTATCATGCATACATACCGCCCATATAAGATGATAACCACATTGCCTTGGTAAGGGCACGTCTCACTGCCGATATGTAACTCTCCATCATTTTCAATGAGTATATGTCTAGTACGCAAGATGATTGGCTGCACATCGTCTTTAATGACCAGCTTTCCTAAGTAGACAAGGTTATGACAGTTTCTTTAACACACAGCAGCTCATCAGAGGTCATGATACCATTGTGCTAAACCCAGTGCTGGGCTCTCATCTCAACTTTTGAAAAATTCTGCTCATCCTCCCCAAAACAGCTCTCAATACAAATCCTAAAGACATTACATGTTTTTTATTCACTTCAGTACTTGAAGAATGCAATTAAGATTTGTGTGGAAGGAGACTTATTCAAAACAGGCAGAGTTAAGATGAAAAAAAGCTATTCACACAAGCAGCCACCAGCAACACTAGGACTCTGTCCTTAGAGACAAAGAGGTACATATGTATCTGCCCTGTCCTGAGACCCTGAGAGCACAACTATTGCAGTATGATGTTATCAGGACAATGATTTAGTAAAAAAATGTTTTTGAAGCAAATCACAGAAGTAGAACTAATGAGTATGCTGAGCTACTTTTGTAAATTCTCCAGAAAGGACAGCAAATATGTTGTTTATAATGGCTAAAGAACTGATAGCATCTCAGCTACCACCCACCCGTGTACTGAATTCAAGCTGTTTGTCCAGTAGCCACCAAGTTCTCAGCAAGAAGCAGGAAGCTCTCCCAGCATGAGGCAGAGTGATTTAAATAAGCACAGTGGAAAGCACCCTTCACCCAGCCTTCCCACCAGTGCATTTTACCTCCATCAGTGATGTGGATAGAGTGGACAGTCGCAGAAGAAGAGAGAAGGAGCTTCCTGCCCATACGGATTTCAATGCGGTTTTCTTCATTGTGACCTGGGTGCCAGATTTCTAGCTCAGGATCCTTATCAGGACATGTCACAGCTGCTTCTGCTGGGTAGAGATGGAGAACGAAGGCAATTACTATTTGTTCAGTGCAAGACAGAAAGCTCCATATCTGGGCATCTTTACAGTATCATTCTCGGTACTCTCCTTGGCTGACCCCCTGGAACACAGCAATATCTCAGTGCAGCAGAGTACATGTGGGTCACAACCAAAAGAAAACAAACAACAGCTTAAGCTGTATGGTTTGCTGGTTTATGAAAGCATGGAAAAACCCCTACCCCATGCAAAGGAGCCTTGCGAGGGATGCAGTTTCCAAAAAACTACCCAAGAGGCTGTAACTGAGTCCCTCCTGCAGTTACATTCTGCTTGGTTCATACCATCCAGACACAACATCTTTTACAAGCCCAGGGACGATGCTGATGGAAGGATAAAACACCTTCCCCCCTTTATAAACGCCACCTCATGACCCAAAATACCTTCAAGGTTTGAAAAGCTTTGTTTAATGTAAAGATGTTAAAATATGTTTGCATACTGTGTTTTCACTGGAGATGGAAAGTGAAAGAGCTCAAACTCACATGAAAATACCAATCATCGAGGAATTACCAGTCCACCCAGTAACAGAGAGCAACAGGGATCTCACAAGAGAGATTCCCGGGTTGTGAGCTCTTCCAGGTAGGAGCAATAAGGATTCATTCACTTTGGGTTCACACACCAGTCTCCACACACAGATTTGATTACGGACTGCCATGACATGTTAGTCTAAATGGCGCCCATACCAAATCCAAGAGTCTCATGTTACAATTATTTACTTAAGATAAAATATTTTCCTGATATAATCTCACTCGATACGTGAGCCTCACATCTTACTCTAATCAACAAAACTGCAAGTGCGAGAGACCCATGTGTGATGCATATTTTTGGAGGGTAGAAACTTTTCTAATCCTAGGAAGCTGAGGTCAGTGGAAGTTTGAACAATGAGCCTTTGTCATGAGAAAGAGTTGGGAGTTCTCAACAGATCTCAAAATTTTATCCTTTACAACAAAAACACCATAGGAAAACTACAGGATCCACAAATCCATGATAATAGACATGGGATAAACCCCCGACTTCAGTAACGTTATGGGTCTGGCACTTCATATAGTAAAGTTGGGTGGTTTTTCCCCGCAGATACTAAAACCTTCAGTTAATGGAAAGGACAACCACATGAATCCATGCAGGGAAACATGTCCCAGGGCTGGCTGTTGTGTGCTGCCACTGTGGAACTTGAGGGACATCTGTAATTCCACAGCAACAGAAACCAGACCTGTCCATCTGCATTCAGTTTCTTCTCAGATTCCTCCACCAGCCTCATGTTTTAAGAAAACAATAGAATTGGACCAGCCACTGCCTGAACATCTCCAGAGACCCACTAAATACCAGCCATGTAAGATAAGCAAGGGACATTTCATGTGGGCAGCATATGCTTTGGCTCTCTGCAAACTTTTTCCATATACATGAAGTGATCAAATCAGAGAAGGCTAATAATCTACCGGGTAACAAGTCAAATACTGATAAACACCCAGGGCCTGATGTTGATATCACTTGTGGCAGCTGAAAAGTGTCAGAAACACTTTTTCCAATTTACAGTAATTGAGGAAAATAAGAAGGAGTTTCTGGGTTTCCACCTACCAGAACACACAAAGAATTAATAAGAGTTGGAAAAGATAAATACTTCAGGCAGGAAATGGGACTTGCATTGTAAATAGATGTCCAAATATAACTGTAATACACACTGACAACAAATTAAAAAAAATGAGCTGTTATTCCCATAGGAATAAGGATAATAGAAAAATTTGCTCATGATGAGAAGCTAAATAAAACCAAAAGAATCAATTCAAATGCAGAGGTATAATTTATCAACTGGATTAACTGGACAGAGTAAAAGCTTGTTCATTTTTCCATTTACTTGGCTATGCTAGTGTCCAAAAGAGCTTCCTGCAGTCTCAAAAGATGACTTGTGCACCTAAAAATCATTCATTATCTAGGAACAGAGAGGCAGACAGTGAAGCCTAAGGGGAAATCAAGAGGAATTTGCATTGATGATTGGGATGGCAATCAGCAAAAGCCGACACAATTCAGAACAAAGGACCCAAATTCCCAATTTCATTACCCAACTAGTACCAGAGAGCAGTAGCTGTGCACAGCACCTGCATCCGCTGCGCCAAGGACACTGGAGGGCTGAGCATCTTCTGCTAGCTTGTCCAGGTACTTTGCCAGCTTGTATTTTTACTTCGTTGTCATTTTTTAAATGAGTGCAACTTCTGCCCAGCGCAAGGAGTTAACTGCATGCTTTGCTTATTGACCAAAAGGGCCTGAGCACGGCAATGAAAGGTTGCTTCATGCAGCTGCAGCGTTTGGGGCAAGCCATATGGTTTCTTTGTTTTAAACAAATAGAAACCCCCAAATTAGCTCTATTTACAATACGTATACCCAGCTTCCCTTTTCCCCTTCCCCTGACTGCTCAGGAAAAGGGCTGCTTGCGAGACACAAACCCCAAGGGGCAGGGGTGTCCCACCCCAGAGCTTTTTGCTGTCACACATCTGGGCTCAGGCGATGCAGCGAGATGTTGAACTTCACCTCCCACAGCCACAGCTATTAGGACCTGAGGTTTCTTTTGTTATTTCTTTCTGGCAGTTTGCTGGATTTGGGTTTGTTTTAAGAATGTGTGGTAGAGTTGGAGGGATTCCTGAGGGTACTTTCACCTGCTCAGAAATTTCAGCCTTTGCCACTCCAGCTGCCCTTGACCAGGAGTATCGGCACATCAGAAAACTGCTTTTCGCCTGAGATTTCTCACTCTGTCCTTGACTCTTCTTGTATGAAGAGTGAAGAGCTGCTCAGTCTAAACCAGCAACATCTTTGTTTAAAAATAGTGTTACAAACCCTGCCCTTTTTCCCCATGGCAGGAAAACTTACCTGTGCTTACAGAAGAGATTACAAACAGAAGAAAAACAAAGTTTTCAGCCAGATACTTGGAGGTAGGTAGAGCCATTCTTCAGGATTTTTAATTCTCTGGATGCGTAACTGTGAAGAAAGAATAACAAGCACATGTCACTTTTTTTTTTCCCCCAGCTCATGCAAAAACCATTCACTGCACAAAAAAAAAAAGGTCATATCCAGCTTTATGCCAGCCCACATCCACTCCCCTTCAGATCTATGGCTCAGAACACCTTCACGCTGCTTCAGGACCAGCCCAAAAAGAGCAAGAAGCTAAGGGCTCCTCACCCTTTGGTTTAGGATAAACCCACTTGGGAATCCAAACAGACACTCAGAAATCAACCGCCTGATGGAACCGAAAACGCTTTAGGAATGCAGTGTAAACACAACCAGCGTCAAGACTTTCTAGGGCTGCATATTCACATGTGCAAAAAAGTAATGAAACACAACAGAGAAGGCGTTCGCAGAGTGACAAATTTTCACGAAGCAACCTTTCACTGGCACCTCTCTCCCCCCGTCCGACCCACACATTTTTAACAATGGTGTTTTGTGCACCCCCAAGATAAACCGTACTCACACTTCCAGTCTGAAGCATGCAGTTTCTTAGATTTCAGATCCAAGCAAACACTGTCTATTTAATATGTCCGCCCAGAATTTTCTTGCAAAACCAAAAGCTGCTTTTGAAACCTGTCTACCTAATGTTGTTTTCGTTTCTTCAGTAGCCAACCCTCAGCAAAAACAAATAAGCAGTGTCATGAAAGTCAAAGTTAGAACTAATGTGATTCTCTCCAGTCTCCAGTGGTTGACTCTGCAGCTCTGCCCCACACTCATGACAATTTATTGACATGTGTATTCACACTGAGTCAAGGACACCCACTTCTGTAAGTGCCAATGCTCTGTATCCATAAGGCGCTGCTTAAAATTCCCATGTAGTCCTTGGAGACATTAGGTTTTATAATGTAAGCCAGTATATGAGGAATATCAAAGAAATTTATTTGTAGCTGTCATGTCACACTGCAGTGATGAAATAGGATAAATGTATGCATCACACAGCTTAGTTAGACACACACACACAAAAAAAAATAAAAAAATAAAAAAAAAAACTCCAGGGTGTCCCAGTTTTTTTAGGGCAAAAAACACATGTTATTTTTCATGTCACTTGTTAGTACAAACCAAACAAAAAACATGACAAAAAGGCATGCCAGAAGCCAGGATTTAGTCTGGAGCAAATTTTACAGTGTATATATGCAAAACACGTGTGTGTACTTTTCATAAAGGTGATATAGCTCAAAGATACATTCAAACAACATGTAATCCAATGATTGTATTAAAAACAGCATTAGAACCAGATTTGTCAAGAAATATTCCAGCAGGAAAATGTTTGCTTGTTTTGGTGTAGCGTTTTTGACAGCTGTGAGCTCTGGAAACAGCATAGACCCAGGGCTCGGTGCAGTCTATCAGGTGCTGAAATGCTCTTACAGAACAGTGGAAAAGAGGAATGCACTCAGGAACGCTATAACTTGGAATGATGTACATTATCAGAGAGCAATACCGTCGCCATGGAATTTGTGCCAGAGCCAGGCTGCACGTGCCTGACATTTTAACAACATTAACCATCAACATCTGATAGGCCAGGTCTCTTTTAAATGAGCATTATTAGAGGTATGCACAAAGTACAGCAGTCACCATTAAAATGTCAAGATTTATTAGCAATTATTACACAGCCTCATCTGCAAACCCAATCACTAGATTCTGCTTTAGATAGAGGAAAAACTAAACAAGTGGTTATACCACAGATCAACATCTGATAGGCCAGGTCTCTTTTAAATGAGCATTATTAGAGGTATGCACAAAGTACAGCAGTCACCATTAAAATGTCAAGATTTATTAGCAATTATTACACAGCCTCATCTGCAAACCCAATCACTAGATTCTGCTTTAACGATAGAGGAAAAACTAAACAAGTGGTAATACCACAGGATGGTCATCACAGACAAACATGATCACGGGCACAGCTATATCTTAGTGGTGCATAAAGCCAGATTCCAACTGGTAAGGTATTGTTCACAAAATGCATTCAGATGATATAAGAGTTCACAGAAATGAAAAGAAGGGACTGGTTTTTTAGACAGTGATGGCATGCATTTGCTCTCCTGTTGCTTTGTAGGTAGCAAAGAAATGTCTTTGTTCTGGCCCATTAAAAACTCAGAGGAGCATCTCTGCTCCGTCCAGCTCATGATCTTGTTTCTGACAGTAATTACTGTCAGGAAATTACTGTAAGAAATTTCATAGCCTTTGCTTACTTTAGAGCCAAGAACTGCACAGTACTTACCACCAGATTGTGCAAAATGGCTTCTGCTATCATACCCCGATTGCTCACCGGGGACTGCTTCCCCGATTACATCCATCTTCATCAGCAGAGATGAAAACAAGCAATCAGACACTGGAAAGTCACGGCATTTTTGGAGGCATCAGCTGTGTGCCAGGCTCCAATGTTTTTGCAGTGTCTGATCTGCCACAGTCCAAAGAATATCCTGCTTATTTTGTGACTGAGGTAGGGTGTTTGATTGGGCTCGTGGCGAGCTCAAGTTCATTGCAGTGTTAGTGTTAACTGGCACTGGGGCTGGAAAGGCTGAGAGCCGAAGAGGGCCAAGAGGATCCGACTCCTCTGATTCAGCTCTGACTAACACACTGCCGGAAAAATGCTGCCCGGAGGATAATCTTAGGAATTTTCCTTCAAATGCTCTCAATTAAGCATCTTTCCCAAATATTAGACAAAAACAGTGACATGTTTGATTTTATTATTAAATATAGAGGAGGAAGAGATAGTGGCTCTGGCATCAATGTCTCCTGCTGGAGAGGACTCCAGAGAAGTTATCTCCTGCCAGCCCGACGCTTCGTTAGCTCTGCGCTCTGAGCCGCAGGGATACAGCAACACACATCGCACTTGAACAGGCGCCACGTGGCAGAGCTCAGCTCTGATGTAACCAGCTATGTCAACAAACTTCCCTGCGGATTCAGGCACTCTGAGAGTGTAAGGGCCATACAAGTGTCCTCCTAAGTCTATCATCTCCAACATTTCTCAAATACCACCCGCAATTCCTCTCGTGGGTGAGAAAAGCTTTTTCATCTAGCCCTTAAAACTGCCTGGCAATGGCAAGCGGGACTCATATCCCTGGATCTGGCAAGGCAGACTTTCTGAAATGATTCCCAGCTGCTGGATCTTTCCAAAAGAGTGAACAATAGCAGCAGACAATGCTGAAAGTAGAGGCAGGAAACCATTAGTCCTCAGCTGGCTGCTACCGCAGGTGTCAGCAGCGATACTGTACTAGAAAGCACACTGCAGAGGCAGGGAACCCCATCCACTGCCCTCCCTGGGGTTTAAGTGCTGGAGACAACACAGAGCAGACAATCTCGAGAGCAAAACGGTGAAGAAATGCTCTGAGGAAGCTTAACAGGCATTGTGGTGGGGTCACACAGACACCCTGAGCTCTCTGGGCTGGCACAGCCAAACGCACGCCAGGCTCCGACCTTGGCTCGCCACCTTGCATGAGTGTGGGCCAACCATCCCAGCCTGGCACCGAGATTTAAAAAAACCCACTAGTTTGCTGACCTGGTGACCTATGAGTAAAATCTGTGTTCCCCAGGCACCATCTCTGCAAGGGGAGATGCTCTGGGAGACTGAAATGGATCAGTGCCGGGTCAGTGCCAGGTCCATGGTCACCCCTCATGCTCCGGGCAGCCAGACCTGCACCCTCCCGCTGCCACCACTGATGCGGAGGTTTCAGTGGTTTGATGGCTAGATCTGAAGCCTTGCTGCACGATTCCTCATTCACATGCAAAGAAGCCAACGTCAATTTGGAAGCAGATTCCTGCGAGAGGAGGAGCTGTTTAATTAGCGCCTCTGCTACCTTCTTGCTGACATTGCACAGCAGCGACTGGGAAGATGGATGTGAGGAGCACATTTGCCTTTATGACCCGAGGACATGCCAGCTCTTGCCACAGGGACATTCCTGTGCAAGGGGAGTCTTCCTATGCTCAGCCACAAGCACAGCTAAAGCCTTCAGATGGCCTTACAAATAAACAAACGCATTTCTAGGGATCACTAATGAAAATGCCTTCCCAGTCCCAGAGCTTGACAGCAGCGTAGCTGCCTCTGCTCTTCATCTTGATCTTGTGCTCACCACCCAGCCATTAGCTGCTCCTTTTTACCGGTAAGTAGAGGAGGATTAAACTCAGGAACAGACTTTACTTTTCAATTAAATCAATACTGGACTCAAAAGCAGCACTCTGACTTTTTTCCCAGTGAACCTTGGTTTCTTATAAATTTATTTTTTTAGAAGGTTCTGCTCACATATTCCATATATAAACATCACTGCAAGTTCCCTAATTCCTGGTGTTCATAAAAACAGATTCTGAACAAGGAGCAGGAGTTAGAGGAAATTTTTACAATGAATAAATTAAAGGAAACTAAGGTGTTTGCAAGTTTGCTGTAATACTGGCAAACTATTTTGAGACAAATAAAAGGGGAAAAAAGAGTTATTTTAAAGTTATGCTTTTTTTCCAGAATTAACTTTTTTTTTTTTTTTTTTTTTTTTTTTGCAGAGGCTTACAGACCTTGAAAAGGAAAGGAAGCAATTTCTGGCTCAGCTAAACCAAAATCATTTGCAGTTCCTGTCGCTCCACCCATCTGAAGCTGACTGACTCCCAGCTTCACATGCTTTCGAAGCGCTCAGCATTTCACTGAATTAAACCCTCATCCACCGCATGAAGTTTTCAAAGCATCAAAGTGGTGGGAAGCTGGACCCCGTTTTTGGAGGTTCAGGGTGCACTGACTTTGCTGTGCCTGCTGACAGCACCTCAGTGTATAGCCAAGCTGATGCCTTCAGCGAGTGCCAGAGCTACTGTGTTCCCAGTGCAGAAATGCTCTGGGGATAACTGGGATGGCCATATGCTCTGAATGCATCAGGTGTACTGAGCATGCCTGGATCAGCTGCAGGTCCACGTGGACACACACAGTCCATGTGGACTCCAACATGTGGGTGGTGATCCTCC